GCAAGCAGGCGCCCCGAGAGGAAGCCGCAGGGCCCCTACGGAGAAGGGCGTCACTGCTGAGGTCACTGTGCCCAAGGCCGCGGAGAAACGCGCCTCAAGGCCGCCCCAAGCCCCCGGGGGGGGGGGGGCCGGGGGGGCATGCCGCTCCCTCCGCCCTTCAGGGTTCCGGGCGGAGGCGCTGAAATGAAGGGCAGAGCAACAGGGGAAAACAGTCCGGGCCGCTCAGTGGTTTTGAGTGTTGGCACATGGACCCAAAGGTCACGGGTTCAATTCCCTCGGCTGCAGGCTTGATCCCTGGGCCTGGGTCAGGGCACGTGCGGGAGGCAACCCATCGATGTGTGTCTCTCCCATCAGCGTTTCTCTCTCCCTCCTCTCTTCCACTCTCTCTCTAAAAAAAAATTAAGAATTAATGGAGCCCTAGTTGGTTTGGCTCAGTGGACAGAACATCAGTCTGCGGATGGGAGGATCTGGGTTTGATTCTCGGTCAGGGCACAGGCCGGGGTTGTGGGCTCTATCCCCAGTAGGGGGCGTACAGGAGGCAGCCAACCCATGATCTCATCACTAATGTTTCTATCTCTCCCTCTCCCTTCCTCTCTGAAATCAATTAAAAAATCATTTAAATATATTTTATTGATTTTTTTTTACAGAGAGGAGAGTTAGAAACATCGATGAGAGAGAATCATCGACCAGCTGCCTCCTGTACGCCCCCTACTGGGGATGTGCCCGAAACCAAAGTACATGCCCTTGACCGGAATCGAACCTGGGATCTTCCAGTCCGCAGGCCGATGCTCTATCCACTGAGCCACACTGGTTTCGGCTAAAAAAAATATTTTTTAAAAAATCAATGGGAACATATCCTCAGAGGAGGATTTTTTAAAAAGGAGAAAGAACAAAAGCTAAGTCACGCATCCTCCTGCGGAGCTGGGAACAGCTGGGAGGCCCAGCAAACAAACGGGCCCGACGGGGCTGGAGCCCGTCTCCTCACCCCCAGCTCCTTGGCAGACAGACGGGGAGGGGAGCCAGGAGAAGCCCGTCCAGGCGGCCACCCTGCAGGTTCCACTCCCCCTCCGCCTCCCTCCGGCCCCAGAAGGGCCCGGGAGAGCGCCCCTCCTGCCGGGCGGGCACCGCAGCCGGGCGTGCCCCACCCGGACGGCCGCCCCGCGAGGAAGCCGTGCCCGGTGCTCGGAGCCGCCGCCCAGCACGGCCCCCTCCGGCCGACCTGGTGCCGAGGGGCGCGTCCTGGGCGTCCCCTCCGGCTCCCGGGCGGCCGGGCGGCCCGCGCGGAGCTGGGAACCGTCAGGCCCCGCCGGACGCCTCTCCCACCTGCACACGTCATGCGTCACACGTCACGTGGCTCACGCGCACGCGTCACTGCGTCACGTGGCTGTGACGTCACAGGCGGAAGGCGTGCTCCTGCTTCGTTTCTGTCGGGTGGCCCATCGTTGTGGGTGCCGTTTGTCATGGACCCAAATAGCACCTCGTGGCACGGGACTGACTGCATTCACGTGGAAATGTGTCACGAACGTGTTGGTTAAAAAAATACCCACATCCCTCAGGTCCTTTACGTGTAAACGCATGTCACCGCAGACACTGCACAGCGCGGAGGGACACGGAATGCCCGCCGCCGTCGCAGCCGGAAACGGAGGAAGCACCCCAAGTCGCTGTGCTCAGGCTGCGGCCCCGAGGGGGAGCCCGGGACACGAGCCCCGGGGCGCCCCGCTTTCTGTGGGGAGGCCCTTCCCGGGGGGCCCCGAGCGGAGGCCCCGAGCGGAGCCGAGCGTCCACAGAGAGGCTCTGGCGGCTTCTGGCGACATTTATTTATTTTTATTCTTTCAATCCTCACCCGAGGATATTTTCCTTTGATCCTTTTCTAGAGAGAGTGGACGAGAGAGGAAAAGACAGAGAAACATCAGCGTGAGAGAAACACGTCGATGGGTCGCCTCCTGCACACGCCCGGACCAGGGCCCGGGCCGGGGAGAAGCCTGCAACCGAGGTCCATGCCCTTGACCAGACTCGAACCTGGGACCCATCGGTCCACAAGCTGACGATCCATCCACTGAGCCACTCTCTCCCTTCCTCTCTATCTAAAAAAAAAAAAAAAAAAATCAATACAAACACATTTAGTAAAAATCAATTAAAAAAAGAAAAACACACATGATCTCAATGACGCGGAGAAAAGACGTGACAAAATTTAACGCCCATTTATGATTTTTAAAAAACCCTTAGCAAAACAAAACAGGGGACACTCCCTGCGCTGATGCTGATAAGGAGTCGGGAACCCATCGCCCGCCAGCTGCAGGGCCGCCGCCCGGAGATGCCAGCCAGGCCAGCCGAGGCGGACACGGAAGGTGGAGACAGACAGGAAGGTGAGCATTCCCCGCTCACAGGCATGACCCTGCGTGCGGGACACCTGCTTCTGGGAACTCTGCAGGAGGGGCCCGGGGAGACACGCCTGAGCCCCGTGACACAGGGCGCGGCGCCTGAGTCACTTAGACACGACCCTTGGCCTGGCTGCTGAGAAGGCCCTTTGCCTTCGTGGTTTCCCTCCCCCAAGCCAAGGAGGGCAGATAACAGCAGGGAAGGTCACCGAACCGAGCAGAGGGCGGCCCGCGCTCCGCCCAGCCTCCAGCTGGCAAGGCCACCCCACCAGGCAAGGCCACCCCAGCCGGCAAGGTCACCCCACCAGGCAAGGCCGCCCCACCAGGCAAGGTCACCCCACCAGGCAAGGCTGCCCCACCAGGCGGTGGAGAGGCAGCCAGCCGAGGGGCCTGCGGAGCCAGAGGCTGAAGGCCCGGGGAGGTTCCGGGCAGAAGAGGAACCACAGGTTAAACACCGAGGAAATGGAGTTCGGGGCGCGGTGACCGCTCTGCACTCCGATTGTCCCGGGAGCCGGAGCTGTGGTGCCCGCGCTGTGGGCGGCCGGGAGGCCCTGGAGCCGGCTCTGTGGGACGTGTGCACCACCTGCAGCTTTCCCGAAACCCGTTCTGAAAGGAGATTGAGAAGAGAGGAAAGGAAGGCAGGGATGGGGAGGAGGGAGGAGACGGCCATGTGAACTGGGAGCACGGAGCACAGGAAGATGCAGCGTCACCACGGCCTCGGCGTGACCTGGCGGGCTCGGTCCTTCCTTCTCATTCGCCTGTCTCCTCCCCAGTCCTGCCTTCGCCGGCAGACGTGATGGGCATTGGGTGCTTTTTGTTCTTAATTATTTTTTATTTGAGAGAGAGAGAGAGAGACATCAATGATGAATCATGGATCGGCTGCCTCCTGTATGTCCCCTACTGGGGAGCCCACAACCCAGGCCTGGGACCCCACCGGAATCGAACCCTGACCTCCAGGTTCCTAGGTCAATGCTCAATCCGAGCCCGAGCCAGCGGCCAGACAGGACTTTTTTCTTGCTCAGGCCTGTCGCCCTGCTGCCCCAATGGCCCTCAGGCCTCTCCTGAGCACTGGTCCCCGTGAGGAGGGAAGGCGTGGTCCCCTCCTACTTCATGGTCTAAACCACATCCCATGGCCAACCCGCCGTGCCCCCTGGTGTCTCCCGGGAGGCCCCGGGGGTCCCAGCAGGAGCTGGAAGGGAGGGAAGCCCCAGGGAAGGAGGGGCAGCACTGAACACAATTCCCCACCCCCAGCCCCTCCCCGCCTGGGGCTCCAGCTGGTTTGGCAGTTGAGCTGTCCTCACTCACCTCCACCTTTGGGGCGGCTGGTAGCCGTGGGGGAGGTAGAGACCCCAGTCCCCAGAGGCACGGCTTCCGGAAGCTTCCGTGGGCTAAGCTAAGTGGTATTTGCCACCCTAGCAGCCTTTGAGGTCCCCTCTGTGTACGCTGTCGGTCTGCCTTCCTGTCACTTGGCCAGTTTCCTACTTCTTGACCTTTGGTTTTGAGTCTGGGGCCCAAACGGCGGGAGGCCTGCGCCCCATCCTGTGGGCTGTGGGGCCCTGTGCCCGGGCCGAGGAGCGGCCACACGAGCCAGGCCTTGAGCAAGTTCAGTTCCCAAGTCATGGTGGCTGCAGCTGGTCGTTTGCTTTTTTTTTTTTAATGTTTTTATTGATTTCAGAGAGGAAGAGAAACATCCGTGAGGAGAAAATCATGGTCACCTGCCTCCCGCACGCCCACCCCCGCTCCTGGGTCCAGTCAGCGTTTTGAATGGGCTGAGCGGCTGGGAAGGGTGGTTCCCGCAGGCTGGGCTCAGGGGTCACTGCAGGGCCTCCCTCTGGCGGCCACAGGCCAGGGGCAAGGTGCTCGCCGTCCGCAGCAGCCCTGGCACGGCGCCCACAGGACTTCCGCCAAAGGCTGCAGTGATTGGCTGTGGCATCCGTTTCCCGTCTCAGCAGCCACAGGGAGGGACAGTGTCTTCTAGCTCCCACCAAAGTGGGGGGAGGGGGGAGGCGGAAACCGGTGTGGCTCTGTGGTAGAGCGTCGGTCAGCGGACTGAAGGGTCGCGGGTTCGATTCCGGTCAGGGGCATGTACCTGGGTTGCGGGCGCATCCCCGGTGGGGATGTGTGCAGGAGGCAGCTGATAGATGCTTCTCTCATCCATGTTTCTAACTCTCTATTCCTCTCCCTTCCTCTCCGTAAAAAAATCAATAAAATATATATTAAAAAAAAAAGTGGGGGGAGGCTGTGACCCCCACCCGTGCGGGCAGCACACAGGGGCCTGAGTCCAAGGTCCCTGTGGACACACCAGCCCCAATGCTGGATGGGTGGAGGCAGGGCCCCAGCCACCTGCATACACTCTGGCTCAGTCCGTGGAGGCCAGGGATGGGCAGGGTCCACTTTCCCTGCTCCACACCCTCATGGGGGAGGGAGTGTGCGCGGCAGAAACCAGCCCAGCTGGGCGTTCCCCAACCACAGCCAGCTTTACCAGCCAGCTAGCCACACCCACCCCTGGGTGTGAAGGCAGAGCCTGCACCTCCCCCACCGCCCGGGGGCCCACCCAGTGCACCCAGTGCAGCCACACCCAGGACACCAGGACTTGGGAGAAAGAAGGACCACTGTGGGCGGTTTTACTGCAGCACTTTTATTTCCTCACAATGACGTGTTGCTGGGGCCTAATGTTCTCACGTGACAGTAGAAAACCAAAATTTGTCATTTCTTCAAGAATCGCGTACAAAAACCTTACATAAATTAAAAGGACTAAGATTTACAGGTGGAAATGCAAACCGTTTTCCAACTCAAGGCAAGTAACAGCCCAGGTGTCCTGGCAGGAACATCAACTAAGAAAGGAAAGTGGGCCCCAAGCTCGGACCCTCCCAGCCCCGCCCGTCGGAAGGCAGGGTGGAATGGTGGGGTACAGGGGGCGCCCCACTCAGAGCCCCTGGGAGGGGCAGCTCCCCCGGCCAGCGCCCTGGGCTTCTCCTGCAGAAACATGTTGTCTCGGCGTGGACAGGGGCTACATGAAAGGTATGTACAGGGCATTAAACGGGTAACTCGAATACAGGTCAACGTCAGCAACCAGGCCTACAGTCCAGTGCTGAGCTCAGAGACAGGCTTCAAGGACGTTTCTTTTCGAAGGCGTTCCAGTTTCGGGCCGGCATGAGGCGTGCCTGTGCAGGGCAAACGGAGACTCCACTCATGCAGCAGACGCTACCACTGCCCGCAGTCCGCTTAGAAGCACTTGCGGTGGACGATGGAGGGGCCCGACTCATCGTACTCCTGCTTGCTGATCCACATCTGCTGGAAGGTGGACAGCGAGGCCAGGATGGAGCCGCCGATCCACACAGAGTACTTGCGCTCCGGCGGCGCGATGATCTGAAAGACAAAGCGGCCTCAGCTCCCGCTGTCTGCCCGGAGGCCCGCCCAGGCCCAGCCAAGACCGGCCACCGGGACTCACCTTGATCTTCATCGTGCTGGGGGCCAGGGCCGTGATCTCCTTCTGCATCCTGTCGGCGATGCCGGGGTACATGGTGGTCCCGCCAGACAGCACCGTGTTGGCGTAGAGGTCCTTCCGGATGTCCACGTCACACTTCATGATGGAGTTGAAGGTGGTCTCGTGGATGCCGCAGGACTCCATGCCTGTGGGACAAAGCTCTCAGCCCGGGCCTCCGGGTGGGCGTCCCCGGCCCCACCCCCGCCCGGCGGCGGCCACCTACCCAGGAAGGAGGGCTGGAAGAGGGCCTCGGGGCAGCGGAACCGCTCGTTGCCGATGGTGATGACCTGCCCGTCGGGCAGCTCGTAGCTCTTCTCCAGGGAGGAGCTGGAGGCGGCGGTGGCCATCTCCTGCTCGAAGTCCAGGGCGACGTAGCACAGCTTCTCCTTGATGTCGCGCACGATCTCCCGCTCGGCCGTGGTGGTGAAGCTGTAGCCGCGCTCGGTGAGGATCTTCATGAGGTAGTCGGTCAGGTCCCGGCCCGCCAGGTCCAGACGCAGGATGGCGTGGGGGAGGGCGTAGCCCTCGTAGATGGGCACCGTGTGTGTGACCCCGTCCCCGGAGTCCATGACGATGCCCGTGGTGCGGCCGGAAGCGTACAGGGACAGCACGGCCTGGATGGCCACGTACATGGCGGGGGTGTTGAAGGTCTCGAACATGATCTGGACAAGAGGCAAGGGCTCCCCTCAGAAGTGGGCGGGGGACCCAGGGCCCCCCCATGCTCACACCCCGCATGCCAGCATGCCACAAATGTGATGTGTGGAGAAAGAAAAGAAAGCAGGCAAAAACACAACGAGAAACCTTGAGACTTCAGGGAGGAAATGCCAGGAGAGGAACAGAACCCTGGAAATACCGAAAGAAATACTTGAATTTCAGGAAACAAAGCTGAACAGAAAATGACTTGTGCGAGGCGGGGAGGGCGGAGGCGCCGGGCACTGACCTGGGTCATCTTCTCACGGTTGGCCTTGGGGTTCAGGGGCGCCTCGGTCAGCAGCACCGGGTGCTCCTCGGGGGCCACGCGCAGCTCGTTGTAGAAGGTGTGGTGCCAGATCTTCTCCATGTCGTCCCAGTTGGTGACGATGCCGTGCTCGATGGGGTACTTGAGGGTCAGGATGCCGCGCTTGCTCTGGGCCTCGTCGCCCACGTAGCTGTCCTTCTGCCCCATGCCCACCATGACTCCCTGGTGCCGAGGGCGCCCGACGATGGAGGGGAACACGGCGCGGGGGGCGTCGTCCCCCGCGAAGCCGGCCTTGCACATGCCGGAGCCATTGTCGATGACCAGTGCGGCGATCTCCTCTTCCATGGCGACCTGCGTGCAGAGGCGACCGGCTCAGGCGGGCCCGGGGCCCCGACCGGCCTCAGCGTCCAGTCCCGCCCTCCCCGACCCCAGCCCGCCGCCGGCCGGAGCAACCGCCTGGAACCCCGCCGGGCTGGGCAGTAACGACCCCAGGCTCCCCCGCGGCGGCGCGGCCGGGCTCCCCGCACTGCGGCCGGCCCCGCCCTGCTCCCCTCCCCCACCTCGGCGCCGGCCGGCCTCCGCCCGCCGCCCGCCCCGCAGCCCTTTGTTCCGGGGACGCCGCCCCGGGCTTCCCGCGCCGGGAGGGCGCGCTGGGCCTGCGGGAGGCGCGGGGCCTCGGAGCGGGGCCGGGCGCGCAGGGCGGCCGCTTACCTGGGAGGCGGCGGGGCGCAGAGAGCGAGAGCGAGCGGAGCGGAGCGAAAGGCCGGCGGCTGCAGCGACTGAGACCGAGTGCGGCCTCCCCCGCCGCTATTTAAGCCGCGCGGGGCGCGCGCGTGGGGCGGCGGCGCGCGCGGCCCCAGAACATGTCCATATATGGCGATCTTTCCGAACGCCGGGCGCCCATTGGCCGGCGCGGCAGGGGCACGTGGGGTTCCCGGCCGGGCCCCGCCCCCAGCCGCACCGCCCCCAACGGCCCCGCCCGCGCCCGCTCGGCTCCCGGGACCCCCGCGCCCGAGACCCCCGCGCCGCGCGCTGGGGTGGGGGCGGCGGGAGCCCCGGGGCTGCCAGGGCTGGGGGGTGGGGGGCGGAGGATCCCGAGGGGCCCACCGGCCGGCCCCGCCCCGGGACTGCCGCGCGCTGTGGGGGAGGGCCCGGCTGCACCCCGAAACTGCCTGGCCCGGGGCTGGGTCGCGCCCCAAGTCGCGGTATGTCACCCCGGCCTGGCCCCGCGCGCCCCCGCGAGCCCCCGGGAGGCTGGGCCGCAGTGGCGGCTCCAGAGCGCGTGCGGGCGGGGAGGTGGGTCCCCGGGGCGGCCGGGCACCTCGGGAGCCGGGGGCTCGCCCTGTCACAGGCCCTCCGCCGGGGAGGGCGCCCTGCGGGCCCCGGGGTGCAGGCGCGGACAGCCCGGCTCCCCACAGACACATCCGCCTCTGACCGCAGCCCTGATTGTCCCCAATCGCGGCTCCGCTCCGGTCCGCCCCTCGCCGCTAGGGGGTGCGGGCTTTGTCCGCTCCCGTCTCCCGGGGCTTTACCGGGGCGCAGCGGGCAGGGCCTGACCGCCCCGGTGACCGCCCGGGCCGGGCACCCTGCGCTCGGAGGCCGGTGTCGGCGCGGAGCGGCCGGGGCCCCCTGCGGGCTGCTGTGTAACGTAGGAGCCGCCGTTAGAACCGGGGCGCGGGGGGCCATTGTCCCCATATCGGCGGGGGGGCGCCCCGGGAACCCTGTGGGGCAGCTGGCGGCCACGGCTGCCTGCGGGGCGGCCCCCAGATGCCAGGCCTGGCCCCCGCAGCCCCGCCAGGTCACCCCCCCCAGACTTCCGAGAGGCAGGCAGGGCCGCTGTCCCCAGGGCAGCCCCCTCACCCGCGGGGGCCCTGCCGTGGGGCCGCCTGCCGCGCACTGCAGCCCCTCGGCCCTCCTTTGGCGGCCTCGGCCGGTGCTGGGGGCGCAGACGGCCTCCGCCCCCCGCCCGTCTCCGCCTGGGCCGCCGGGGGCGCGGCCGGGGCGCGGGGAGGGGGCCGGGGCGCGGGGGGCAGTGCCCCGGGCGGGGCGGGCCCAGGTGCAGCCAGGTGAGCGGCGGGCGGGGCCCTGGGGCCGCGGCTCGGCCATATTTGGCGATTTCGGCGCCGCCGGGAAGCCGCGTCCCGGCCCCGGCCCCCGCCGCCCGCCGCGGCCTGAGTCACCGGCGGGGGGGACGGAGGGACGGAACAACGGCCGGGCGCTCCTCGCCTTATTTAGTCACGGAGGCCGCCCATTGGCCGGCGGAGGGGGCGGCCGGCGGGGCGGGACCCGGGCTCCGGGCGGCGGAGGGCCGGAGGCCGCTGACCCCCGGGCCCGGGGAGCACCGCGCGGGCCGGGAGGGGGACGCGGGGCCAGGCCGGGGGGGGGGGGGAGGCCTCGGAGGGGCGGGCCCGCCGCCCCCGGCACCGGGATTGCTCCGCCGGGCGGCGGGCGGCGGGCGGCGGCCTCGCCCGGGACCGCGGAGGCTGGGGCCGGGCCGGGGTCCTGGGGGCGCGGGGCGGCCGCCTCCGGAGCTGGAGGGGACGGGGGTGGGGGGCTCCCCCTGCCCGAGGCGGGTGTCCCTCCGCCGGAGCACGGCCGCCCAGGCCGCCCGGTGGGCGGGTGGTGATCTCGGGCGTCTCCTCCGTCTCCATCCATTTAGAGGCGCAGGGAGGTGGCGCCCCTGGCGGGAAGTCTGGGGGGCTGGGCGCCACCCCGCTACCCAGCTCAGGTCCTGCCCTTCTTCCCCCCTCGGACACCCCGTCAGCACCCCGCTCCAGCCTCAGGGTGCTCCGGGTCTGGGTCACCTCTGCGCGGACACCCCTCCCTGGGGTGGAGGCCCCCCTGGACTTTGCCTCTCCCATTCCACCTGCAGGAGTGCCCCCCGCCCGGTGGGTCCTGGGACAGAAAGCAGGCCGAGGACGAACAGGCCCCGTGTGGAGTCCATGGACACTGAGCACTGGGGTCCCCCAGTGGCCACTGCCGCCCCATGAGGTTGCGGGGGGGGGGGGGGGGGGGGGGGCAGCCGCGGCTGCAGGAATGCCACTGAGGTTGCACGCTGCAAGTCTAGAGTCACCTCATCATTGCCTGGCCGGTTTGCTCAGTGGATAGAGCATTGGCCTGCAGGCTGAAAAGTCCTGGGTTCGATTCCAGTCAAGGGCACATCCCCCATAGAAGGCGTGCAGGAGGCAGCTGATCGATGTTGCTCTCTCATCGATGTTTCTAACTCTCCCTCTCCCTTCCTCTCTGTAAAAAATCAATAAAATATATTTTAAAAAATAAAGTCACCTCACCATCAAGGCTTTACCTCAGAGAGGCCCCTGCCCTCAGCGAGCCGCCCTCTCTCCCAGCCTTTGGCAGGTCAGATGCCCCCTAAGCCCCTCCCGGGTGTGGGGTGGGCTCCGGGGGAGGGCAGCCCCTGGCTGGCTGGCTGCGGTGGTGACCCTGAGGGCCACCCTGGAGTCAAGGCCAGGCACCCCCCCCAGCACGGCCTGCTGCCTCCGTGTCAGAACAGAGGCCAGGCCAGGCCACAGCCTCTGTCCCTGGCCTGGGGCCCAGGGGACTTGTTCTCCAGCTCGGCTCAGCCTGGGGCCCAGGAGCCCACTGTTGGGGCTGGCGCCCGGTGCGGAGGGAGGCGGTGCCTGTGTCCAGCGTGAAGTGGGCGGAACCTCGTGTTGTCCAGTCTCACTGCCCGGGAAGCCCAGGACCACACCACCTCACAGCAGGAAACAGAGGCTCGCTGTGCACCCCCAGGCAGAGTTTGGGGGTCAGGTGCACAGAGACACCAGACCCAGGGTCCCTGAGCCCCTCCCCCCGCCTTCCGCCCGGTCCACGGGCTCAGGCCTCTGTGAGGTTCCCACGTCCGGACCGTGGGAAGCAGGACCAGGGAGGCCCTGGAAGAGCGTCCGCCCCCCACCCCACCCCCATGCACAGCCCGCGTCCGCCCCCACCCCACCCCCACGCACAGCCCGCGTCCGCCCCCCACCCCACCCCCATGCACAGCCCGCGTCCGCCCCCACCCCACCCCCACGCACAGCCCGCGTCCGCCCCCACCCCACCCCCATGCACAGCCCGCGTCCGCCCCCCACCCCACCCCCACGCACAGCCCGCGTCCGCCCCCACCCACCCCCATGCACAGCCCCCGTCCGCCCCCCACCCCACCCCCACGCACAGTCCGCGTCCGCCCCCACCCCACCCCCATGCACAGCCCCCGTCCGCCCCGCACCCCCCCCCCATGCACAGCCCGCGTCCGCCCCCACCCCACCCCCATGCACAGCCCGGTGAGGGCCCGGCCAGCAGAGGCTCTGAGGCTGGTGGCCCCGTACTGGACAGGCCATGGCAGGCCCAGCGACCTTTCCGCCCGCATCACCGAGCGGTCCGGCCTCTGGCCTCCCTGCCCCAACTGCCAGGTGCTGGTGATGGAAGCACTGACCCAGCCCAGCCCGAGGGTCAGCCTCCTGGGGGGACTCCCGGGCCACGCCCCCTGGCAACGTGACCTTCTGTCCCCGCCCCTCAGAGGTTCTGACTGGCCTGGAGCCTCGTCCACAGTCCTGGGCCTCCACCCGTGGCCAAAGTCAGAGCCAGGGTGCCCACCAGGCCTCAGCCCGCCCGGCGCACCCCTGCCTGCTGTGGGGTCCCCCCTCACCCACCCACCTCCTGCTTCCCCACAATTAACGTCGCAAACCAGGCCACCGCTCCTGGTGCCACCCTGGGCCCCTTGCCTGGGCTGTGGGTCTGCCCGACCCCCCCCTGCAGCCCCCGGCCTGTGGCCCTGCCTCCCGCCGTGGCCAGCACCCGGCGGCCCAATGCCTGCAAAGCTGCCTCCTCCAGGAGGGGTTCCAAGCCACCTCTTCCCCCGACACTGTGGCCCCGACCCTCAGGGCCGGTTCCCCAGCGAAACAGGGAGGCACGGAGCCTGGGCGCCTCTGGGACCAGCACCCAGAGAGGGTGGGGAGGTGGAGGGCGCCGAGGGAGGAGCCCGCGCTGAGCGGCAGGAGGACCCAGGCTCATCACCCAGGCCTGTCACCCAGGCCCGTCACCCAGGCCTGTCACCCAGCCCCGTCACCCAGGCCCGGAGGGAGGGGCCCGCTGCCCAGGGACCTCACCGCCGGGCTGGAGGCTCCAGGACCTGACAGGGAGGAGCTCAAGGGGCACCTGGCAGGCGCCTGGTACCCGCCTGAGCCCCCCGGACTGTGGGGACCAGGTCTGTGGCCTGTGACCGTGACTGGGCCAGAAGGCGGGGCCGAGAGGGATGCGGGTCCGAGAGGGAGAAGGCGGAGGCTGCTTCTGGGCGCTCAGTCCCACCACTGCCCAACCCCCGGGGGTCCTGACCGGTCACCCGGCCTCAGCCGCCTGCCCTTCTTCCGGGCGCAGATCCCGCGGGAAGGTACCCGGAGCCTGTGGGCGGGGCTTGGGGCATGTGGGCGTGGTCTCGATCGGCTCCGCCCCCAGCCGGTCGGGGGGGGGGGGGTCACCGGCCGGAGCGCCTGAGCGCGGGGCGCGGGGTGAAGCCGCGGGGCACGGCCCCGCCGCCCCACCTCTGCCCGCCGGGCGCGGCCAGGCGCCGGACCGGACGGAGGCCAGGTGTCCGCGGGCGGCACCGCTCCGCCCCGGGCGGCGACCGCGGACCCGGGCCGGGAGGGGGCGCCCTGCGCCCGGCCAGGCCGTGGGGTGCCCGGCGGCCGCCAGGGGTGCGGTGTCCCGCCCGGCGGGGAGGCCGCACTGCGGGCCCCTCGCCCCTCGCTCCGGGCGGGGGAGGGGGGGGCCCTGGGGCCGCCGGTGAGTCACCCCCCGCCCCGCCCCCCGTGACGCGGAGCCGCCGGGCGGGCCGTGACCTCGGGGCGCGGACGCAGGAGGGAGGGTGGGGCCCAGCGCCCCGCCGCAGGGCACCCCACGGTGTGGCCCCCAGGGTGTGGCCCCCCTCCGTGCGGGGCGGACCGTCCCCAGGCCGGGCTGCCCGCTGCTGTGGGTCTGGCCGGTACCCGCAGCGCCCAGTCCCTCAGAGCAGGAGGGGAGAGGGGGGCGGCTCAGGTCACACCGCAGGAAGGTGCAGCCAGCGGTGGGTGGGCTGTGCAGACACCCCCCCCCCCCCGTGGGCACCCCCTGCTGCGGGACGCAGGGTGGGGACGGGGGGGGGGGGGCACCGGCAGGGTAGCTCAGGGTCCTGCCGTGCTGGGCCAGGGGCGGGGCTCGGGGGGCCCTGGGGAGGTGGGGGAATGGGGAGGAGCAGAGGCTGGAGCCACGGAGGGAGCCGGGGGTCAGGACTGAGGGAGGACGGCAGACGCCCGCGGGCAGGCGGCCAGGCTGGACTCCACCCGCCGGGTGACAGGTGAGGCGGCTCCACCCGTGTCCGCCGGGGACTGGGTGTGAATCAGCGCAGGAAGCACCCAGGAACAGCCCCACCCACACCCACGGGAGGGGCGGACCCCCTCCCAGGCCCCCAGCACCTCCCGGGGCGGGCTGGGCTGGGGCACCCAGCCGGGAAGGACAGGCCTGGACTGTCCGCAGGATTTTTAAATATACACACCCTGCGTTCAGAGGTCATATAACCTGGCCACTCCGTGTATAGATTATTGATCTCAGGGAGGAAGGGGGAGGGAGAGAGACGGAAACATCAGTGATGAGAGAGAATCACGGACCAGCTGCCTCCTGCGCGCACCCACTGGGATGTGCCCCAAGCCGGGCCTGTGCCGGAGGCATGCTGTCCTCCGCAGGCGCGCGCCAAGGTCCTGGGGTTTGGTGCCCGCAGGGCCTGTGGCTCAGCTGCCTCAGGCCTGTCCCCGTGTTTTCGGGCCTCTGGCCTCTGTCACCTGCCAGGTCCCCTCCCCCACCAGGCACGGCCCCGATGGTTCTAGAGACAAAGCCAGGAGCCGCCCGGCTCTCCCCCTGGGCCAGGCTGCCTCCCGTCTAAGGCAGGAGCCAGCGTTTCAAGGGGCTGCCCTGCCTGAGGGAAGGGGGTGGGACATCGGGTCCTGGGGATGGGGGCGGTGGCCAGGCATAGGGTGGGGGGGGGAGGGTCTCGGGGAGCAGGCAGGAGGGGCAGGCTGGCACTCCCGGGGTTTGGGCCCTCCCCACACGGCTCATCTCAGCACGGCCCCCACCCCCCACCCCGAGGGAGCGTTACCCTAAACCGGCGCAGGCCTCCCTCCGTAAACCAACCCACAGGCTGGAGTAGAAGGCACCCCGCCCGCCGCCCGCCACGAGTAAGAGTAAGCGGACCTGGGCGGTGAGCGCCATGAAAAAGTCATGAGGTAACCCAGCAGCCGCAGGAACAATGCAGGGGCGGGGCCAGGACCCGCCAGGGGGGACCCGGAGCAGGGCCTGGCCCGGGACCCAGGACAGCAGGGCCAGCGGCACAGTGGCTCAGGACGGGGGCGGGGCAGAGGCACTGGGGGTGTGGGCCAGGAAGCCTGGGGCACAGTGCCGGGCAGGGCGGCACCCAGGTGTCCGGAGGAGGTGCCGGGCCAGGGATGGGCGAGGGGCTGGGGGGGTGGGTGTCGGGCTGGTGCTGCTGGGGCACCCGGACCGGCCAGGGAAGCTGTGGCCTGCAGGCCCCTCAGCCTGTGGTCCTGACTCCGTCCTGGGCCCCTTCCCAGTTTCCAGGGCCCCGGGCCAGCCGAGGCGGGGAGCCCCCCCACGCCCAGCCTGTGCCAGCTCACACCACCACATCGGCGTTGCCCGGGCACCCAGCCCAGCGCACGCGCCGGTCGCCATGGCAGCAAGCGGCATGCTGGCAGGAGCCCAGGCTGGTGCTGGCGTCCAGGGCGGGTGGTCTAGACTGGCCAGGCAGGGGTCCTTTCTCTGGCGGCCGGAGGGGGCTGCCTGGGGGAGTGGACGGGGGCCCTTTGAGGGCCGGGCCTGCCCACCCCCAGCCCCCGGGAAGCTAGCTGTTTCCCCAGGGCCCAGGATGCGGCCTGGGGCCGGGCACCCTCTGCTCCTGTCCGCTGGGCGCTCCCCAGGGGCTGGGGCCGTGGCCAGCCTGGCCTTGTCCACTGAGAGCCCTCCTCCGGGGCCGTGTGGCCATGGGGGCCCTCCGGGCAGGGGCCAGGGGGCTGCTCCCTCAGACGGCCTCGGGCCTCGGGGCCTGACCGGGGCCCAGCAGCTGAGTGGGCACTCGCAGGTCCACGTCTGGCCCCAGGAGGGGACTGTCCGCTCAGAGGTCAGCGGGGCTGGTGAATGGGCTCCGGACGCGGGCGGCATGTGTGTGGCCGAGGGAGCGGCTATGTGGGCTCCTGGGTCAGAGCCAGGGGTTCGAGGGGTCCCACAAGCAGATGCCCCATGAGGCCCAGGGAGATGCCGAGGGGCAGGGCGCGGCCCTCGGCCTGGGAAGCTGTGTGTATCGGGGCACGGCCTGAACACACACACTCTCTCTCGCGCGCGCGCACACACACACACACACACACACACACACATGCACAGAGGGCCATCCTCGGGGACCTCACACAAGAGCCCCCCCTCAAACAGTCAGGGACTCGCTGAGCACCTGCTGAGGCCAGAGTCGTGGCGTTCCCGAGGGGGGTCCCAGGCCGCGGGCCAGGGCCCGGGTCCCGAGAGAGAGGCCCACCCCCCGAGTCCCAGGCCCGAAAGGCCGCCCGGGAGCCGCCCGCCCCGGCCGACGGGGGCCCAGGATGGAGAGCCCCAGCCTTGGCTCTGCCCGGGAGCGGCTGCCGGAGCCAGGCCGCTTAGCGCCTGGCGGCCCTCCCTCCCCACACCTGCTGCCTCCGCACCTGCCAGCGCCCGTCACTGCCAGCGCCCGGCAGGCTAACGAGGCCCGCCCCCCTCAGGCGCCCCTCCCGGCCTGGCCCGGGTCCGGGTGTGAGGGCGGGCCAGGGGCCCACACACGGACAGACTGGGGTTCAGACAGCACCACGGCTCGCACCCATGGCCAGGGCCCTTTCTCTGCGCGAGGCCTGGCTGGGCCCCTGGCCTGCTCCTCGGTCTGCACGTGCCAGGCTTAATGGCTGCCAAGAGTTGGGGAGGAGGGACTCCTGAGCCTGGTCCTCTCCTGTCTGTGCCCCCTGTGCCCCCTGCCCGTCCCCCGGGCTCACACATGCTCAGCCCAAGTCCATCCCAATCCGCTGGGCCTGTCGGGGGCCCTCGTGGCCGTGGAGGGTGCAGGCCCGCGCCCTGCGATGGAGCGAGGTCGGAGGCTGTGGCTCGAGTGTGTGTTCCCGGGGGTCCTCGGGGCGTCCCAGGGCCTCGCACTGGGAAGGGGAGAGGACGCGGGCTGGCCCAGGCCCAGGCTGGGCAGCTCCGGTTTCCCTCCTTGGCTCCTGGCCCTGGAGGCAGGTGCAGGAGACAGACAGGCAGGCCCTGCCGGTCCCCAAGGAGCCCGGGCTGCGCAGGGAGGGGTGTAGGGGAGGCCCGGCCGCTGGGCCTGGGAGGGGCCGTGTGGGGTGCCCTCCTGCAGCTGGCTCATCCCTGCCTGGCCCTCTCACCTGGGCCCATGAAGACCCCGCAGTCAGGCCCGTTTCTCTGGCCACGTGGATGGCAGCTCGGGGTCCCCCGGGCCGTCCAGCAAGGCTGACCTGACCAGAGTCACCCACGGAGGAGGGACCAGGGGAAGCCGGGGCCCTGCAGTACTCAGGGTGCAGAGTCAGCGGGGAGCTCAGCCCCTGACCCGGTCCCGCGGGCCGCCTCTGTGCCACCCTCCCCCGCACAGCCAGCCGGTTAGCAGGAGTCCCCGTCTCCTCACAGCCGCCTCTGTGCCACCCTCCCCCGCACAGCCAGCCGGTTAGCAGGAGTCCCCGTCTCCTCACAGCCGCATGCCCCGGGGCCCCACACAGCCAGCTGCCCGGCCGTGGGGACTGTGAGCCCCGCCTGGGCTCTGGTGCCTCAGGTGCTGGGACGGCGGGGGTGGGGGTGGGAGAGCTCACGGGCACCAACACCCCCCCTGCCACCCCCAGCCCTGCCGCTCGGCGAGGCACCAGGCTGCAGACGCGCTGAGGGGCGGCCGGGGCACCTGACCGACGGCCGCTGCGGGGCCGGGCTGCTGAGTGGGAATCAGAGACGCGGTAACTGGATCTGCGGGGCGGGCGTGTGATCGGGTTCCGTTTCCACCGTTTCCTCGGTGGCCTGTGCGACCGGAGCCAGCGTGCTGGGCGAGGCCTCGGGGGTCGGGGCCTGAGGGGGCCGCGGGGAGAGGCCTCGGGCAGGACAGGCCGGATCCTGGGCCCAGCAGACCGGGGGGGGCGCGGAGGTGGCCAGGCTTTGCCGGGGGCACCCCCAGCCCAGGGCCCCTCCGGGCCGGGCCGCCGGGAGTGGCTGAAATCCAAGCTGGGGAGTGACAGGCGGCTGCTGTCCCCGAGCCGGCCAGCGCCGATCCGCCTCCGCCCGCCCTCCGCCGCCCGCGGGCCACGTAAGAGCCGCCGGCCGCGGCCACCGGTCAGAGGCGGCGGGTCCATGACGCTGGCAGGGCCGCGGGGCCGCGGGCCAGCCCAGCCGTGCCGGGCGCCGGGGGGCCGTCCGGGGCCGTGAACACAGCGCGCCGCCTGGCCGTCCGGCCGTCCGCCCGTCCACGATGCCCACCAACGGGCTCCACCAGGTGCTCAAGATCCAGTTCGGCCTCCTCAACGACACCGACCGCTACCTGACGGCCGAGAGCTTCGGCTTCAAGGTCAACGCCTCGGCGCCCAGCCTCAAGCGCAAGCAGACGTGGGTGCTGGAGCCGGACCCGGGCCAGGGCAACGCCGTGCTGTTCCGCAGCAGCCACCTGGGCCGCTACCTGTCGGCCGAGGAGGACGGGCGCGTGGCCTGCGAGGCGGAGCGGCCGGGCCGCGACTGCCGCTTCCTGGTGCTGCCGCAGCCGGACGGGCGCTGGGCGCTGCAGTCCGAGCCGCACGGCCGCTTCTTCGGCGGCACCGAGGACCGGCTGTCCTGCTTCGCCACCGCCGTGTCGCCGGCCGAGCTGTGGACCGTGCACCTGGCCATCCACCCGCAGGCCCACCTGCTGAGCGTGAGCCGGCGGCGCTACGTGCACCTGTGCCCGCAGGAGGACGAGATGGCGGCCGACGGCAACGCGCCCTGGGGCGTGGACGCGCTGGTCACCCTGGTCTTCCAGGGCCGGCGCTACTGCCTACGCTCCTGCGACAGCCGCTACCTGCGCAGCGACGGCCGGCTGGTGCGCGAGCCCGAGGCCCGCGCCCGCTACACGCTGGAGTTCAAGGCCGGCAAGCTGGCCTTCAAGGACTGCGACGGCCGCTACCTGGCGCCCGCGGGGCCCACGGGCACGCTCCGGGCGGGGCGCAGCACGCGGCCCGGCAAGGACGAGCTGTTCGACCTGGAGGAGAGCCACCCGCAGGTGGTGCTGCTGGCCGCCAACCGGCGCTACGTGTCCGTGCGGCAAGGTGGGCGAGGGCCGCCCAGGGGTCGTGGCCGGTGGGGAACACGTGTGTGCTGCTGCGGGGGCTGCGGGCCGTGGTGGGGTCCCCGGGAGGGCTGCCGGCTGTGGGGTCAGAAGGAAGGGGCTCTGGCCCGGCTGGTGGGGCTCAGCAGCTGAGTGTCCACCTAGGAGCCAGGAGGTCAGGGTTCGATTCCTGGTCGGGGCGCAGGCCCGGGTTGTGGGCTCCATCTCCAGTGGGGGGCGTGCAGGAGGCAGCCGGTCCATGATTCTCTCTCATCATGGATGTTTCTCTCCCTTTCTCTCTGAAATCAATAAAAATATGTAAAACATATATTTAAAAAAGAAGCAGGGGCTCTGCCTCAGGATGGCTGGGCAGCTGCTGAGAGCCACGTGGGCAGTGCCCAGCGGGTGTGGGCAAGGCCCCCTGCCCCTCACCACCCCCTTTCTGAACTTTAGAGGACGTCGGAGGGGCTGGGGCCAGGGCAGGGGCCAGCAGGTCAGAGTGAGGCAGAGCAGTGTTCCCACGCCCGCGTGGCTCACAGGCGGTCCTCGTCCAGCCCCAGGAGAGGGGAGGGGAGCGGCGAGGGGCCTGGGGCCTTCCAGTCTGGGGGGCGCAGGGAGCAGCCTGAGCTCCTGGTCGGTGTGGCTGGGCTCCCCGCCTCCAGGGTCATGTGACCAGTGGGCGCTTTCTCAGGCAGCCCCAGCCTGTGGGTGACACAGGGGTGGGAGCCGAGGTCCTGCGGTCTCTGCTGCCTCCCAGTGGGTGGGGCTCTGGCTCTCTGCACCCTGAGTGCCGACACACCCAGACCTGGCATGAAGCCACCCTGTGCGGAGGGCAGAGGCCTGGCATGGGCGCCTGGGAGGGTGCCCTCCCCAGCTATCGGGCCTGCCTGTAGTCAGGGTTCTCAGCCCACCCAGCAGGGCAGGGCGAGGGGGATCCCAACACCCTGAGCGTGGTCCTGGCGGGTCCCTCCCACCACAGGCCTGAGGTCCAGCTGCCCGGCATCCCGCTCGGGCCAGGCCCAGGGCCTTGCTTTGCCAGCGGACCGCAGGTTAGGATGCGAAAAAGCTGCCAACGGCACAGCACCTGCTCGTGTCCAGCTGTGAGCCAGCTCCTGGGGCGCAGGAGGTGAGGCGGCCGCTGGTGGTGGGTGCGGCCGCGGTGACAGAGATGGTGCTGGGCTCCTACCAGCAATGCCGGCGGTGATGATGGTGTTGGTAGTGTTGGTGTTGAAGATGGCATTGGCGGTGTTGGCAGTGATGGTGATGATGGCGGTGGTGTTGGCGGTGATGTTTGATGGTGTTGGTGATGGTGGCATTGGCGGTGTTGGCAGTGATGGTGATGATGGCGGTGGTGTTGGCGGTGATGTTTGATGGTGTTGGTGTTGGTGGTGATGGTGGCATTGGCGGTGTTGGCAGTGATGGTGATGATGGCGGTGGTGTTGGTAGTGTTGGTGTTGAAGATGGCATTGGCGGTGTTGGCAGTGATGGTGATGACGACGGTGGTGTTGGCGGTGATGTTTGATGGTGTTGGTGTTGGTGGTGATGGTGGCATTGGCGGTTTTGGCAGTGATGGTGATGATGGCGGTGATGTTGGTAGTGATGGTGGTGCTGGTAGTGATGGTAATGATGGCGTTGGTGGTGTGGTGATGGTGGCATTGGTGGTGGTGATGAGGTTGGCAGTGGTGGTGGCTTGGAGATGGTGAGGACGATGGTGGTGAGGCCTGGGCCATTTTTCATTCCCTGGCCACCCTTGACCTGAACCCCAGGCTCTGCTTCAGGTAGCCTTGGCCCCCCCTCCCAGGACTCCTGGGAGACCCCACATGGAAATGGGAGGCTGGACGGTGAGGTGGGTTCAGCCCCGGCCCAGTGCCCAGGAGGAAAGCTCAGACCTTGGCTGTGGCACCGGGAAGGACGGGCACCCCACATAGCAGCTTAGGGCCGAGCTATAAATAGAGGCCGGTGTCAGTGCTGGCCGAGGGGAGCAGATTATCTGCTGGTTAGCAAGGCCGGGATGTGCCAGCACGGAAGGGCCTAGCTACGGGCTGTGGTCAGTGTGGGGGTTCCACAGCCCCTGGGCAGAGCTTTTGGATCCTGGAGAGGTGCCTTAAACCCTCTCGGGTTCTTTAAAAAATATATATTTTATTGATTTTTCACAGAGAGGGAGAGGGATAGAGTTAGAAACATCGATGAGAGAGAATCATCGATCAGCTGCCTCTTGCACACCCCCTACTGGGGATATGCCCGCAACCAAGGTACATGCCCTTGACCGGAATCGAACCCAGGACCTCTCAGTCCGCAGGCTGATGCTCTATCCACTGAGCCACACTGATTTGGGCCCCCCTTGGGTTCTGGAGGAGCCGCTCTGGCCTCCCCACCCGCCCAGGGAGAGGCGTGAGGGGCTTCCCGTCTCCTCCCTCCAGGGGTCAACGTCTCAGCCAACCAAGACGAAGAGCTGGACCATGAGACCTTCCTAATGCAGATCGACCGGGAGACAAAGAAGTGCACCTTCTACGCCTGCATTGGGGGCTACTGGGCCCTGGTCACCCACGGGGGCATCCAGGCCACCGCCACCCAAGTGTGAGGGCGCCATCCCCACCCCCACGTCCACCAGCACCTTCACTTCCACCTCCTCCACCTTATCACCACAACCACCACCTCCTCCATCACCTCCACCTCCACCTCCACCTCCACCACCACCACCACCACCACCACCACCACTACCACCTCCACCCCCATCACATCCACTACCATCTCCACCTTCACCACCACCTTCATCTCCACCTCCTCCTCCACCACCACCTCCTCCATCACCTCCACCTCCATCTCCACCTCCACCACCACCACCACCACCACCACCTCCACCCCCATCACATCCACTACCATCTCCACCTCCACCTCCACCTCCACCACCACCACCACCACCTCCTCCACCTCCATCACCATCTCCTCCACCTCCATCACCTCCACCACTACCTCCACCTCCACCACAGGATATTGTTAGCAGCCCAGCCAGGGAGAATGCCCACTGGGGTGAGGGACAGCTTAGTGGAATGGGGTGGGCATATTAGTGGAAGGCAAGTGCCAGTCCCTCCCCTGGGGGTGGTAGTGGACTTGAAGGGGTGGGGAGCCCCGGCCCTGAGCTCTGAAGGGCCCTTGTCCCGCCCTCAGCTCAGCCAGCACCATGTTTGAGGTGGAGTGGCGTGGCCGGCGGGTGGCCCTCAAGGCCCACAACGGGCGCTACGTGTGCATGAAGAAGAACGGGCAGCTGGCGGCCACCAGCGACTTCGTGGGTGAGGCTCCGGCCCCTCCCGCGGTGGTGCTGCCCTGGCACTGCGCCCGGGCCATCCTGGCGGGCGGCGGGCGGCATTGGCAGGGTCGCCTGGGGAGCAGACCCGGGCGGTGCATGGCTTCGCCGAGCGGCCGGCCGACACGGCTCTCGCGCCCGCAGGCCCCGACGAGGAGTTTGTGCTCAAGCTCATCAACCGGCCGCTGCTGGTGCTGCGCGGCCTGGACGGCTTCGTGAGCCAGCGGCGCGGCTCCAGCCAGCTGGACGCCAACCGCTCTGCCTACGACGTCTTCCACCTGAGCTTCAGCGACGGCGCCTACCACATCCGAGGTGCGGGGCCGGGCGGGCGGGGCGGGGCGGGGGGGGGGGGGGGGAGGGGGGCGCCGGCCTGAGCGCCCGCCACTTGCCCCCCCGCAGGCCGCGGCGGCGGGTTCTGGCACACCGGCAGCCACGGCAGCGTGTGCAGCGACGGCGAGCGGCCCGAGGACTTCCTCTTCGAGTTCCGTGAGCACGGCCGCCTGGCCATCCGCGCCCGGAGCGGCAAGTACCTGCGCGGCGGCGCCTCGGGGCTGCTGCGCGCCGACGGGGACGTGCCCGCCGGGTTCGCACTCTGGGAGTACTGAGCTCGGGGGTGCTGGGCTCAGGGGTACTGAGCTCCGGGAGAACTAAGCTCGGGGTGCTGAGCTCTGGGAGTACTGAGCTCGGGGGGTGCTGAGCTCAGGGGTACTGAACTCTAGGGGTGCTGAGCTCTGGGAGAACTGAGCTGAGAGTACTGAGCTCGGGGAGTACTGAGTTCGGGGTGCTGAGCACACCCGTGTCCCCATTAAACCATCTGTCCAGCGGCTGGTGGCTCGAGGCAGCGGCTGGGATGGGGGAGGGTCTGCCCGGCCGCACCGTCACTCCGGAAACAGGGTCACCCACCGCCCTGCACAACCGCGCCCTGGGCCTCTGCTGGTCCCACTCTCCCCGCCAACTTCTCCCAAAATCGGGAGAAGGCGCCCTCGGGGCTGGGCAGCTGGGGGGCCCCCGACAGGCAGCGGTGAGGGGTCCCCAGAGCATCCCTGCTCCCAGTCCGGGTGGGGTTAGGGACCCGGAAACTTGGACAAGTGACACCCATCTTCCCCAACGTGCTGTAGATGGAGGGCCCCTCGGTTCCAGAAGCTCCCTCATCGCCACCCAGTCACCCCCAGTCCAGGAAAGAGGCTTTCAGCCAAGCCCATCCCAACCTGCAGAACCCCCACCTGCCTCACCCTGCAGCCACCCATGTGCCCCCAGAGCAGCTGTCACCCAGAGCCCCAGCTCACACGGACCCCACACCCCCATCGGCTGGGTGACCTGGGACTGCAAGGTGGGGGGCTTGCCCCCGGGGTTGGTCAGGACCTTGAGGACGGGCGATAGAGGGCTGCGGGGGGGAGACAGCCTGAGGCAGGCCCAGAGCCCAGAGGGAGGACCGATGGACCCAGAAGGGGGTGCAGAGTAGGTGCCAGGGCGAGGGGAAGGGCAGGGCAGGCTGGGAAGAGTCCGGGGACAGAGGACTTGCTAGGTCACCCCCAGACCCCTATCCCAGGACCCTCTGGGCCTACTTCCCTCTTGTTAGGGACAAAGCAGGGCCATTAACTGAAGGAGGGACAGACTGCCCAGCGGGCAAGGACGGAGCTGCCCAGCCACAGTCTGTGCTGCCCCCTGGTGGCCTGGAAGAAGATGGTGCTGGGCCCGGATCCCAGAGTGCTGCCCGCCTTGGCCCTCGGCCAGTGTGCTTGGCCCCGCGGCCTGGGGCAGCTGCCGGAGGGGAGGCAGAAAGAGGGGGCTGGGCGGGGGGCAGTGAGGACGGCCCTGCTTCCCTGGGATGAGGCTGGGAGTGGGCGGAGGATGCTGGGGCTGGGGTGAGAGCTGGGCAGGGACATCACCGTGTGGCCATCCAGGGCCTCACAGCCACTCCGTCTGAGTCTGAGGCCCCAGTGGCCCAGGGAGCTGAGGGCCCAGACGGGAGGGGGGCGGGGGAACCTTGGTCCGGTGGCTCCTGGGTGTCACCTCTGGCTGTGCGGCCGCACCCACCCTGCGCCTGCACCGGCCTGTACCTTCTGGGTGTCCGACCGGCAGGTCTTATGCTCACGGCTCCTGTGTCACGGCCGGCTGAGCCCCCCGCCCGTGTGTCCCGCCTCCTCAGACGTGTTTCTCCCCCTTATCCCACGTGTAGCTTGACCTCAGCCCCGGCACAAAGCCCAGCCCGACGCCAGGGCGGCAAAAAGGGGCGGAGTCGAGGTGGCTCGCAGGAAGCCTGTTGTGGCAGCACGGGCTCAGCCAGAGAAGCACCAAGTGACCCCGGGGTCCCGCCCCCGACACCCGGGGCAGAGCGGGCGCTGGGCGGCCCCAGCACGGCACAGGTGCCAGGTGTCCAGGCCCCTGGCAGCACCAAGTCTTTGTGCTTTGGTCACAGGGAGCCCCCGACCTGGGGACCCCAATGGTGCAGGGCAGGGCCAAGGCCCCCGGTGGGCGACGAGGCAGGTGGACGGGCAGTGGAGGGGAAGGAGGGACGGCCGAGGCCCTGAACCAGGACAGGACGGCGGGCGGGCAGGGGAGGGGGCGGCCAGCGTCCACTCGGCTGCCCGGAGAAGTCGCTGTACGTCCCGGCCCCGAGCACGTCCAGAGCCAGGTGGCCGTCGGCAGCCAGCTCACCCTGACCTCCCACCGCCACGCGCAGGCGGCCCTGCCCACTCCGGAGCTGGAAGTAGCCCTTGGTGTGCTGATCCTTCGTGAGAGCAGCAGGGCGGCCGGGGGGTGGCCAGGGGGCGGCGGGGGCCGGGGCGGGGCCGGCCCCTCACAGCAGCAGGAGGCGGGGGCTGCGGAGCTGCTGGTACACCTGCAGGAGGCGCTCGGCCGTGGCCTGGGAGCTGGCCTCGTCCTCCGTGCACAGCCGGTCCCGCAGGGCCTGCACCTCCTGCAGCAGCGCCTGGGGGGGGGGGGACAACAGCTAGGTCCCCACCCTCCCCTGCACGCCCCAAGTCACCCACAAACCCCACTGACGACGGGAGGGGCAGCCCAGGAAGATCTCTCCTCTGGCCTCGCCGTGGGACAGCTGCCTCAGGACAGGCGGGCTGGGGCTGGGGCAGGGGCAGGGCCGGTGGGAGCTGCAGGGCCCCTGGGGCCAGGCGCGGGAGACGTGGGCCGGGCGGCTCACCTCGTGGTTGGCCTGGATCTGCTGGAGGTACTGCACCCGGAGGTCGGGGGGGCTGGAGCCCCGGGCGGCCTGCTCCACCACCAGCCGCTGGGGGACACGGGGGTGAGGAACCAGCTGCCCCGGCGCGATAAGCAGGGTCGCCTCCCCTTAACCTCTTGGCCAGGCGGGTCCTGGGTGCCCACCGGGGGCTGCGGCCAGAGGGTCAGCAGCAAGCCCTGCCCCCTCCCGCTCACACGCAGAGAGGAGGTGGGACTGGCCCGCGCCCCATACCGAGCCCCGGGCCCCAGGGCGCACCCAGCGGCCGTACCTGCATGCGCCCGACGACGGCGTGGTGGGCGCGGCACAGGTTGGCCAGCGAGGAGCTCTCCACCTGGACCTCCAAGGCCTGGACGGGCCCCGCCGGGCACAGGCCGGCCACCGCCACCTGCAGCCCAGGAGAGCCTCGTGGAGCCCGGGCCCGGCTGCCCCTCCCTCCCCTCCCCTCCCCCCCTCCCCCCCTCCCCTCCCCTCCCCCCTCCCCTCCCCTCCTTCCCTCCCTCCCCCCCTCCCCCCATCCCCTCCCCCCATCCCCCCTCCCCTCCCCTCCCTCCCTCCCCCCCCTCCCTTCCCCTCCCCTCCCTCCCCTCCCCTCCCTCCCTCCCCTCCCCTCCCCTCCCCTCCCTCCCCTCCCTCCCTCCCCTCCCCTCCCTCCCTCCCCTCCCCTCCCCTCCCCTCCCCCCCCCCCCCTCCCCTCCCCCCCCTCCCCTCCCTCCCCTCCCCTCCCCTCCCCTCCCGGGCAAAGCTGGGTCTCTGCCCGCCGGCAACTCCCCCCAAGCCCGGCACCGGCCACCGTGTGCGCTCCCCTGGGAAAGAGCCCGCTCCGGGCCCTCGCTCCAGAACGAGGGGCGGCCGCGGCCCGCACGGCTGGGCCAGCCCAGGACCAGGCCCCACCCGCGAGGGGCTCGGAGACGGGAGCCGCTCTGCTTGCCTCCTGGACGATGAGGCGGACCTCGCCGCCGTCCGGGGCCAGCGCCTGGACAGAGGCCAGGGCTCGGGCCCGCACGGCGTCCACGGCGTCGTTCTGGGCCAACAGCCACTGCAGGGTGGCGCAGCAGAGGGACACGCCTGAGGGATGAGGTGCCGGCCGTGAGCGTGGGCGGGCCCCGGGGGCCCCCGCCTCGGTGAGTCCACAAGGCCCCGAGGCCGGGCAATGCCCTCCACCAACCTGAGTCACTGCCCCCCAGGGCAGCTCTGAGCAGCTCTGCCGACACGCGGATGGCGGCCACGGACGGCGGCAGGTACTTGGCGCGCAGGGACTCGGGCCCGGCCGGCTCGCCGCCCGGCCGCCCGCAGGCTCCCAGGAAGGTGCTCACGGGGTCGCCGGGAGGGGGGCAGAGCACGGGGGGCGCGGCCAGGCCCGGGAAGCGCAGGCCCTGCAGCATGTCCACCGTGTGCTCACCCAGGGGCAGGCAGATGCCCTCCTGCTCGGGCAGGACGCCGGGGAGGCACCCGCCCAAGGAGGGGCCCCGGAGCGGGTCCGAGGGGGCCAGGGCCCCGCCCACCACCTCCCGCAGGCTGAGGAAGAGCGCGCAGGACACCGTCAGGGGCAGGTCCAGCGCGCCGTCCGCGCCGGGGCCCAGCAGCAGCGTCACCTCCCGCCGCTCGCCCGGGCCCAGCTGGTCCACGGGGACCGTGTAGGTCACGGCTGAGCTGCCGGGGTCGGGGCCCGCGGCCTGGGAGCCGGGCAGCACCTGGACACACAGGGCCCAGCCGCGGTCCAGGCGGAAGCCGCTGCTGTTCTCCAGCAGGCAGGTGGCCGTCAGCACGTCCCGCGGCTCCCGGCGGCTCCAGGCTGTGGTGGTGGTGCAGGAGACGGGCCGGGCGCCCTCCCGGCTGGCCAGCAGCGCACAGCTCACATTCATGGCCTCGTGCAGACACGTCAGGGCCCTGTTGCGCTGGTCCACGGCCTTCTTCAGGGAGGACACTCTGGGCGGCGGGCGGCACCGGGAGGAGCGGGGAGCGGGGTCAGGAGGGACCGGACTCTGTTCCCGCAACGCAGCCCCGTGGTCCGGCCTCACCCACCAGGCCAGGGAGGCGGCGCCCAGGGAGGCCGCAGCCTGGGTGCGCTCCGGGGGCACGGCGGGCAGCGAGGGGGCCAGAGGAGGGGCTGGCGGCATCACTGAGCACAGAGCAGAGGAGCCTCTGAGGAGAGCCTCCCACGTCCCCTCCGAGGAGGGGGGCAGCCTGGCCCCGCTGGGGGACCCGGTGCGCCCGGCCGCCTCCGGACAGCCTCTCACCTCTCCGAGGCGGTGCCGATGCCGCAGAGCAGGTCCTTGATCTTCCGGCCAGAGTCCGCCGCGGTGCCCCGGGCGCGCAGAGGGGGCGCGGGGCGCGGGTCCACGCGGCAGGTCAGCAGGCGGCCCTTGGCGGACAGGGCCAGGAGCTCGGTGCCCCCTGCAGACGGACACGGGCCGGGCCCAGTGGGCGGGAGGAGGGCGGTGGCCGGGGCAGCTCCCCCAGACTCCTGCCCGCGCCGGAGGAGGACCGGGACGGCTGGACGCGCCAGGGGCGGCCGGAGGTGCCCGGGTTCGAGCCCACACGTCCCCCAGGGCCCTTCCCGGGAGGGGACGGGGCCTGGACTGGAAGGGGCCCCCGTGGGCCACCGCGCCTGTGGGCTCCTGCGTGCTACCCCACGGGCCCTGCCCCCACCGTGGCCCTCTTCCCGGCGGGGACAGGGGCCTTTCCCCGTCACGCGCCTCTTTCACGCTGGACACTGCGCGGCCTAGGCCGACGCGTGGGCCACCAAACGGGAGCATGCCCCGGGCAGACTGCTGACCCCGACACGGGACAGACACACAGACAGGCTCAGGGCTCAGGAAGCCGCGCCTCCGTGAAGCCAAGGCCAGCTCTCCCCACTGCCCACCGAGCACAGACCCCCACCCCCACCCCACCCCACCCGGACACAGAAAGGCCCGTCCACCAGGAGGCCGCCCGCGGGCCGGCCGCCCTGCAGGGCTACAGCAGCCGGGGACAGGCCGGAGGAGGCCGGCTCGCCAGCCCCAGGCTCGTACCTTCAGGCGACCTGGCCGCGGCCGCGAGGGTGACGACGCTGCAGACGCCCAGGCTGGCGGGACACAGCAGAGCGGGCAGGCCTGCCGGGCCGTCGGGCGGCACGGGGTCCCCGGGGGCGCCTCCTGGCGCCAGGTCCACCGCGCAGAGGCCGGCCGGGGTGCTGTGGTAGAGGCGGCTGTCCCCGGCGCCGGCCGCGCAGAGCACCGGGCCCGGCAGGCAGTACTCCCGCAGCTCGGGCACCAGACTCCCCGCCTCGTCCCAGCCGGCCTTGATGGCCAGGGTCCGGCCGTGGCGGCCGAGCGCCACCAGGCAGTCCAAGTCTGCGCCCTCGGGGCCCGCGGCCGAGGGCTCCGTCTTCAAGGCCCCGATGAAGGCGATGGGCTCCTCCAGGTGGTGGAGGATCCTGACCAGGGCCTTGGGGTCGCCAGGGGCCAAGCCGGAGGTGACCAGGGTCTGCAGCACCACAGAGCAGAGCTGGCCGTCCGGGAGGCCACAGAGGATCACGGGCGACTGCAGGAGGGCGGCGTCGGCTCCGAAGAGGAGCCCGAAGAGGGACCCCTCCAGCGTGAGGGCCCTGGGGCCCTGCGGGGGGCCGAGCGGGGCCCCGGGGCTGGGCAGGGACACGCAGCACAGCACCGGGAGGAGGTGGGGGGCCTGGGCCTCCCCGGCACTCCCCGCTGGGGGCGTGTGGGTGGACAGCTCCACCTCCCCGATCTGGCCTCTGGGCCCGCGGTCCTCCCCGGGACACGGACACTCAAACAGCCGCACCTTCCACTGGGCGGGGCCCTGCGCCAGCGCCACCAGCAGGTCGCCCAGCACCGTGAAGGCGCACAGCGAGGCGTCGGGGAGCACGCAGGTGTCCGGGTCTACAGGGGTCACGGGGAAGGGGCACTCGCCGTCCTCGTCGGCCCCATCGCTCTGGCTCACAGACCTTCGGGAACAGGGGGGGTGTCACTGCCGGGAGCCACCTGCTGTCTCCATGGCAACCTGCCGGGCGACCCTCCTTACCTGCGGGCCCGGTCCAAAGACAGGCAGTAGACGCCCCTGCGGGCGCACAGGGCGAGCAGCGCCCGGCGGGGGGCCAGGACCTCCAGGTGCCACACCTGCGCGGGAAACCTGTACGCCGCCTGGCGGCCGCGGGGGGGCGGCGGAGGCTCCGGTCCGAACACGCTCCTCGGACGCGCCCCCGCCCCCGCTGACCCGGGCCCCGGGCCCGCCCCCGCGCCGCGCCCCTCGCCCGGGCCCCGCGCTCACGGTCAGCTGCCGCGCCTCCCGGTCGTAGACGTAGACCAGCTCCCGCCCGGCGGCCAGGAGGACCTCGGCGCCCAGCGGCAGCACGCGGGGCCCCGCCGCCAGGCCCCCGACCGGGCAGCTGAAGCCCGCCAGGTAGTGCACGCGCGGCGCCGGCGCGGCCATGGTGCGAGCGGCCGCCGGGAAGCGCGGGGCGCGGGGGAGGCCGCTCGGCGGGGAGCCGCTGAGGAGGCGGCCGAGGAGGCGGCGGGGGCGCCGTACGGCCGCCCACGCTGCGGCGCGGCCTCCGCCGTAAAACCGCGCGGCGGGGCGGGGCCAACACAGGAACCGGGCGTGGCCAATGCAGGGGCGGGGCGGGGCCAGTGCAAGATGCAGGAACGGGGCGTGGCCTGGGTGAGCAGGGGCGGGGCGGGGGCCTGGAGTCTGGGCTGCAGGCCCGCTCAGGGGCGCGGCGGGGACGGAGCTGCAGTAAAGATGGGGGCGCCGAGCAGTTTAGCAAACGCGGGAAACCCGGTTGTCTGTCCTCGCCCACCCCGTCCGTCCTCTGCGCGGCCCGAGGTGCTTCTTGGGGTCCGCAGCATCTCCCTCGCCCGCGCAGGCCCATAAGGCCCGGCACCGAGTCCTGCTCCCCTCGTGCGCCCTGGAGGGGCTCCCCTCGAGCAGGCGGGCGCTCCCACAGCCATTTCCTATGGTTCAGGAGCGCCTGGATGCTGCGGGTCCAGGGCTGGCTGGCTGTGTTACAGCCAGAGACTCTGGGCCTAGTGATGGGTTCCCTCTGACCCGCTGAGCCAAGTGGACAGCCAGCACCCTCCGTGCCTGGACAAGAACCAGTGTGGGTGTGTTGGTTTGCATGGACAGTGGGGTAAGCCAGAGGAATTCTGGGTTGGGGGCAGGGCCAGGAAGAAAATGAGGGGGATCACCAGCAATCATCCTGGGGGTGAGTGGACAGGGCTGCCCTCATCCCTCCAGGGCTAGAGAAGTGCTGACCAGAGAGGGGCCCCTCTGGGTACAGAGCACCCTGAAAGGTGCCTGCAGACGTCAACTACACCCCTCTCCTTTAAGCAAATGGGCCCAGCCAGCATGGCTCAGCGCTTGAGCACCGACCTATGAACCAGGTCAGGGCTTGATTCCCGGTCAGGGCACAGGCCCAGGTTGTGTGCTCCATTCCCAGTGTGGGATGTGCAGGAGGCAGCCAATCAGTGACTCCCTCTCATCATTGATGTTTCTCCCTCTCTCTCCCTTTCTCTCTGAAATAAAACTTTTTTTTAAAAAAAAGCGAGTGGGACTATCTCCAAGGCCACCCATGAGAGGCATATGGGGGGCACGGCAGGCATGGCACGCTGACGGGGCCCAGCTGCCAAGTGTTCTTTGGCTTGGAAGTTAAGCTGGCACCAGGGAGACTGGTGATCCTGCCAAAACAGAGCCAGCAGCAAAAGTTCTCCCTGCCCTTGAGGTGTGGGCGGGCACGCAGCCCCGGCAGCAGCCAGCCAGTCCTGTTGGTGCTGGTGGACGGTGGGAGCTGGTGTTTACAATGCTGGCCCCCCCGTTCCCTGCTGTCCTGGACGCTGGGAGGGCAGCCACAGGGCACAAGACCAGCTCTCCTTGGCCTTCCAATTGTGCCATGTTCCTTTCTAGCACCCCCACACACACCCAACCACACACCCCACACATGAGTGCTCGGAGCTGCTCTGCTCAGCCAGCCTGTGAGTTTTCCAACCCTTACATGGGCGGCCCCTCCTGCCCACAACCTTCTGCTCGGCTAGCAGGCTCCTGGCCCCAAGCCCAGGCCGGCCCACACCGGTGACTCGAAGATTCACAAGCCTCACCTGCCCATCCAGACGCCAACAGGCCTGGAGCGCTGACCGTGGGGGTCAAGCACGGGCAGAGCACTCTCGGCGGCTCAGACCGAGGGGGACACTGAGGGCCTTCCGTGCTCTGGGCCGGAAGCCTGGGGCAGCCAGTGGTCTCTACGCCACACCTGCAGGCAGCGTCACCTTCCGAAGGACGATCTCAGCCCCAGACTCAGGGCGGGGTGTGGGGGGTTCCGGTTCAGGCTGTGCCAGGCGCCGCTCACAGGCAGCACAGCCAGATGGGGCACATGTGCCAGGGTAGGAGGGCGGCCAAGATGGTTGCCAAGCAGTGCCCTCCACCTGCCTGATTACTCGGACGAGGCCACAAACCCTCTCACTTCCAGAACCAAGTTCAGCGGCCTGAGGCGCCCACACCGCGGCCACACCTGGACGTGGGAGCGGTCAGCTGTGCGAGCCACTGCCGGTGACAGCCTCGTCTGGGGGCCTGGCGGCCTGAGGCCTGCCCACCAGCCGTGGGTCTCACGTGCCTGTTCGGGGAGCAGTCACCGGAGGAGCGTGCTGAATGGTGCATGAAGGCTGGCACTGCACCGGAGGGACGGTCCCTCTAGCCCACCCCCTGCAGCCGAGGGGCTCCTGACCCCTCCTTCACCTGCTGCCGGCGCATGCACCTGTCCCAGCACGCAGGCCCAGGAGTGGCACCTGGTGGCAGTCAGGAAGGGCACCCAGGGAGGCCAGGCTCCCCTCTCAGCTCCCCCACCTCCCCCATGCTGGGAGCAGAGCCCAGGAGCCCGGGCAGGGGTCCCTCGGCTCCTGTGGTCCCCACCTGACCGGGGCCGTGTGAACTGCCGCTGCAGGAGCGCGCGCTGCGGGCCGGGGGGGCCCCGAGGGGAGGCGGCCGGCAGAGTTCACGCAGTCACCCCTGCGCTGGGGCCTGTAGCAGACGCGGTGCTCACACGAGGGCAGGTGGGACGCAGGGCACGGGCCCTCCCTGTGCAGGAGGAGGTGGCTGAGCTGCCTGGATCAAGCCCACCACGGCGCCTCCCACCCTAACACTGAGCTCTGACTCTCTTTGGACAATAAAAGTGCATTACTGAACAAAGAGCGACTCAAAACCAGAAGCAGAGAATCACAATGCTTTTTCTTTAGCTAAAAGACACAGGAACATGGGAATTCCGTGATGCCGGACGGGAGTGAGAATGCTGGTGAGAAGCTAGCGGGGCAGATCGAGAGCCTGGGGCCGCGAGGTCTGAGCAGGTCCGAGTGAGGTCCGGCGTGGGCTCCCCTGCAGCCCCCATCTGGCCGCAGGGACCAGCGGCCAGGGCCCCGGCAGGCCTGCTGGGAGGGCGACCGCGGTCCATGCGGTGGCTGTGCTCTGCCCCCTGCCCCAGACCAGCCTCCGTCCCCACCCGCCGACAAGCAGACAACTCCGTGCTGCGCACTGGAGGTGCCAGCGGCCGTGCCCACTGCAGCCAACACCAAGCGCCTCCTTGCACGGGGCAGGTGGGGAGGAGCCCCAGGCCGGCTCCCAGGGCAGACGTGGGGCTCCTAAGCAGGTGCAGAGCAGCTCAGTGGCTCTCATTAAGGCAAAGAGGCATCAGAGTGCCCGCAGTTTCCTGGGGCAGGGTGCCACCGAGGACGTGCGGGGATCCAGAGCACACGTGGCATGGCCCAGACTTGCACCATCAGCACAGCAGCAACCTTCCAACACCCTGGCAGACCCACGTGGCTCACACTGGCCAGGCCCCCTCTCCCCGCAGGCCAGTCTCAACGGCCACGTCACTGTCAGAGGCCAGAGCCGGGCGAGGCCCCCACAACTGTATGGGGGCTAAGGGGGCCAGAGCTTCCAGTCCTGGGCAACCTCGTTCACCCCAGCAGCCTGGCCAGCTGCCTCGGCGGCTGGAGGGCCTGCCTGGAGGGAGCCAGGCTGTGCCCTGCTCGGATGGCCTGGGCTTCGGCGGCCGAAGCCGTGCACCAGGCAGAAGTCTCAGGCACTGAGGTTACTTCCAAGGAGAAGGGACTGTGGCTCCCCGTCTGCACACACCGCCCTGCACTCCCCCAGGGACTCCCTGGAGGGAAGGAAGCGGAAGCTAGTCCCTCTCACTCCCCTTTTCTGCAGTTTTTATCTTTAGAAAAATAAATAAGTCTTTGGGGCAGGAATTACTGATAACTGTTATTACAACCAATGCCAACTTTAAAATCCCACCTGGAGGCCTAGAGAGCGGGAGGGGGCGGGCAGCAAAGTGACCTGCAGGCCAAGCAGATGGAGGCCGTGAGCCCATGGCCACTTGTGTTCCCACCAGACCATGGCTACTGGGCGGGAAGTGGCCCCACAGCAGGGTCTGCCCCAGAGAACAGGCTACAGAGGCCAGCAAGAGCAAACAGCGTCCAGAGGACGGAGGAGGCTGGGGCAGCAGCAAGCACCCCCCTGCAGGCAGAGATGTCGAGGCGCCAGTCCTCCCCCCGAGAGGCGTCCGCGGCCATCTGCCCTCTGCTGGGACGGCTCCATCCTCCAGGGAAGCCTGGTGTGAGAGGCTTCGGGGCCGGAGACCACAGGGCGGCCCCGGCCCCACAAGGAGCGGCCGGCTCCACGTCGCTGGCTTCAGAGCGGGCGGGCCCAGTCCTGCCAGCGGGGCCGAAGCCCTAGGTCCTGGGGAGGCTGCACATCTCGCAGTGGCCAGTGCCCGGCTGGTTCATGAAGGTGCAGTGCTCACAGGCCCACATGGCGGCCGTGGTGGCATGAGAGGAGCCCCCAACGGCTCCGTACTCCTGGAGGCCCGGAAGCTGCACCCCAACTGTGCCTGTGGAGGGGAGAGAGGACGCCGCGGCTGAGCTCGTCCAAGTGCACCCCGAGCACCTGCTCCCGGCCCGGAGCAGCCGAGCCGGTCCTCGGCGCGCCTCCAGCCCGAGCCCGGGTCCTGGCAGAGGCGCCTGCGCCGGGTGGCAGCTGGGCCTGAGGAGCCCGGGGGTGTCCTGGTGTGAGGAGAGGGAGCACTTACTGCAGAGCTGCTCGATGGTGGCCCACTGCTCCGACTTCTTCCAGGTCTGGGCGAGCTCCTCGTTCCGGGTCCGCACGGCCTCCAGCAGCAAGCTGATGCTGTCCTGCGGGCAAACGGAGGTTCTGTGCGCGGCCTGCGGTGGACGGCTCCCGCCTGACACTTCTCCCTCCGCGTCACGCACCCAGAGGGAACGCGGGAACGCACATTGCCACAGCTCCCGTGTGGACACAGAACACCGAGCCGGCACTTCACTCCTCCCGCCCCTCGCTGCCATGGAGCCATCTGCCAGCACCCACATGACAGGCTCCTGGGCTGAGATGGACGGGCAGGAGTCATGGTCCTGCGTCCCCCACTCCCCCAGATTCTGGACCTTCTCAGTCCCACCCTCCAATACGCACTCTACGGCCCAGGCCCGGGGCACACACAGCCCCACAGGGGTGAGGTCCGGCAGTGACTACAGATGGTCCCTGCTGCCCAGAAGGAGCCCCGACGGGGAGGGCCGCCCCGCACCACCCCTCCCCCCGACGGCGCCAGCGGCACCTGGGCCCAGAGCTGCACCTCTGGGCGTGTCGGTGCCTGGGGTGGGATGGCAGACAGAGCCAGTGAAATACAAGAGCAGCCACAGGCCAGCTGACAGGAAAGCCTGGGCTCCCGGGGGCCCCTCTGCTCCATCCACTGTTTCCGGGGACACGCTGAGCCAGCATCAGAGGCCCAGGAGAAACCGCCCCTTCCTCTCTCATGCTTCCTGGGGTCCTGGACAGAAAGGCCAACCACACCTGGTGCCTGCGGGGCCTATGGCTGGACGCTGCCCACACCCAGGCCTGCATGGCTCAGAAAGCAACTGCCGCCGTGCACCTGCCCTCTGCCCCCTCCGTATGCCTCTGCAGCTGCGTGGGGCTTGGGCCGCCAACAACCACAGCAGCTGGCTCAGGGGGAAAGACAGGGAAGGAGCAGCTGTGGTTCTGGAGCTGCTGGGACAGGGCTCAGCCAGGGACCAAGCTAATGCCCTGCGTCCCTCGTGGTTCGCTCAACAAAGCAGACCGGCCCAGCACAGGGCCCCCCGTCACTGTCTGTATGCAGACGCTGAGGGTGAAAGAGTGAGCTCTCCATCAACAAGCCTGCAGGACACGGGACGGCCCGTCTCTCCAGAGGATGAGGAAGAGGACGCCCCGCGCCCAGCCCCCGGCACCCCGCTGGCTCGAGGCACACTCGTTCCCCACCTGCAGAGGCATGACTTCGTTGGTGACCAGGAAGAGCAGGAGGTGGAAATCCGAGATGATGTCCAAGAACATGGCGGAGGTATTCTGCGACAGGTAGGTGGCCAAACTATGGAAGTCCTGGGCCAGCGTCGGAAGGGAGACAAACGGATGGTTCCAGGCCCCAGGAGCCTCCCTCCTGAGGGCTTCGCGGCCGACAGGCATCCCTCTCCCCAGCCTGTCCCCGACGGGACCGAGTCGGGGTCCGGGACAGGACCTGGCCCCAGACAGACAGGCAGCAGGTACTGTGGATTCGGTTGCTAAAGGAAGAGCTTACCTGCGTTTCCCCTAACACGTCGCGGTTCTCGATAGGAAACGGGTTTTGTGAGATAGAAAAGGTGTAAACTGGATCCTTGGGGAACGTGGTTGTGATCTAAGGACAAAGAGACAAACCGTCAACCACAGAATGAGCGGGTGTGGGCGGCCTCAAGGGCAGAGCAGCCGAGCCTCGAGCACGCAGAGCCAGAGGCCTCGCTGCCCACGAGGATGGCACCACCGGGCACCCTGAGCGAAATGCCAAACGTGACCCGGGGGAGCTTGCTGAGAACCGCTTCCAGTCACTTCCGAGACGGCCCCGCCCCCAGGCAGCTGCTGTCTGCCGTCTCTAGGATACAACTCAGCCCCACTGGTCAGCCGAGGGGGGGCTTCCATCTGATGAGCCCCCCAGCTGTTCTCTGTGGCCTGGATGACCTCCAGGGTGACCCCCGGGCACAGCAGAGGCCAAGGAGGCACCTCAGGAGCGGACTCTGTCCCACCGCTGGGCCTGAGGGCCCTGCAGAGCAGCCGAGGGCCTGCTCCAGATCAGGGAGTCGGGTGGGAAGGGAGGCGCGTCCCCGCAATCGGCCTGCCTCTCCAGCACCCCCTGTTCTCAGGAGTTGTCCCCCCGAGGCAGCAGCGAGGGCTCGGCTCCTGGGCCCGCCCCTCCAATGCAGGCCGGCCTCACATGCCGTCCCGAGCCCAGCGCAGCCCCCAGGTCCGGGCCCGCAGAGCACGGCCTGCTGCCCACTGTCGGGCTGTCATCAGCTAACAGTCACCGCCTTGGCCTGTGGCCTCATCTGTGACCAGAGCCTGAGGCCAGAGCAGAGCTGAGACCCTGGGCAGAGGCAGGGGAGCAGGTGCCCTCTCGGCTCCCGGAGCTCCACCCAGCAAACCCCACTGCCCCCCACTCAAGGCATGAAGCTGGGTCCCCGAGGACCCGCCACGCTGGACCGGCAGGCGGTCCTCTGCCGCACTTTGGTTCGGGAGACGCTGACACCGGATTGTTTCTAGGGAAGCGCTCCTCGGGGACGCCGGGCGCACGCTTACGTCGATGATCAGATACTCCACGGGCAGCGGGCGGGCCAGCTGGGTGATCTCGTTGCCAAACTTGTCTATGTCCTGAAAGGGAAACACGGTGAGTGGAGGGAGGTCTGCTGACCAGCGGCCGTTCTCCCTGCATGCCGCCTCCGGGGAAATGGTGACGGCTCCTCCTGAGGCGTGAAGCAGGAAGGGAAGCGAGCCTTTTCCGGCAGGACCCCGCCTTCCGCCTCCCACCTTCCTCCCAGGAGCTCGGCGCCACTCAGCAGGGAGCCGCTCAGCAGGGAACCGGCCTCCACCGGAGCCCCGCCCCCGGCTGCCCCGCCCCCGGCTGCCCCGCCCCCGGCTGCCCCGCGCCGGCTGAGTGCTCCATCTCCACGCTCACGCCGCAGAACCCCTCCATGGGCCTGAGCACTCACACGCTCCTAAGAAAACGGGCACATGAGCCCACATGCACACAGACACAGCAGAACCACCGCCCATCGGCCCAGCCGCACTGCTGGCTTTGTCAGCGCAGAACGTGAAGTTTGATTATGGGGAAGATGGCCAGCACACGGCCATCCATCATCAAGTGACAATTAAACCCCATTTATGTCCAACATGCCGAGTTCCACCACAGCCTTACACATAAGCTCATGGGAACGGAGGGGCTCCTTTTTCCTGTGGAAATCCTCACTGAACACTGTAGACGTCACTCACAGACTCACAGACCACACCTAAGTTATACATCCGTACGTTCCAGCTGCGGGCTCTTACATAGAAGCTTCCGTTTATTAAGCTCGAAGACCGGCCTGGGTGGAGCATGGCACCGGCACACCCACCCTCCCAGCATGCAGAGCCCGTCAAGCCCAGCCCCTGCCCTCTGGCCTTGCTCCTGGTTTAGAAACGGAAGTTCCTGGCTGCAGCACATGGCACCTGCGTCCACCCCGTCCTCCCTCCTCTGTCCACACCTGCCAACAGCACGTGTCCTGGTTCCACCCAGCAGCTCCCACATGCAGCCACCTACATGCGCATCGGCGTCAGAGGACACTCCTGGAGAGCCACACAGTCTGCCTGTCTGACTGCACCGTGAAGCCCAACGCCTCTCCCCTCGGCCTGGAGGGACGGAGTGTCCTGCGCGGGGTTCCCTGGTGGCCAGGTGGGCCAGCTCCCCGGCTTCCGCAGGCAGCCAGAGGTGGGGCCTGCGGAGGGGCCCGGGCCCCGAAGGGGCAGTTTCTCGATGGAGGAGACTAGGAGGCAGGAGTCCAATCCAATCCAACTGAAGCACCATTTCCAAAAGGCACGCTCGCCCCTCAGACCTAACCTGCAAGCGCTCCGCTAACAGGCCGCCTGGAGCTCATCCACATCTCACTGGGCGCCGGCCCAGCAGCACCTGCTCGCTGCACCCTCCGGGGCTCTTGTTAACGCCACGCTGAGTCTTGCTATTCTCTCAAACTTAGCCACCCACCCACACCTGTGCTCCCCCAGCAAAGTGCCGCACCCCTGCCCCTGCCGCACGCCTTCCCTCAGTGGTTCTGCAGGGGCCGAGCCACCACCATCTCCACGGCGTCAGCACCTCCGGTGCAGCAGCCGGAATAGAGCCTTCCCTCAAAGTCAGGCAGCTGCCCAAGAGCCGGCCGTTCTGTCTCCTCCTTAGCAAGACAGGGAGTCAAAGATCGTGTCCCTACTGCCTCCCTCCCTGCCACGGCCACCTCTGGACGCAGGGCACCAGCTCAGAGACAGCGGAGAAGCCCAGGGCCTCGGCCTGCGTGAGCGTCGGGGCCCCGGCCCGGTGCTGGGACAGCAGCACGCCCCCCGTCGGTGGCACCCCTGCTCTGGAAAAGGCAGGCGAACCCTGAATGAACAGACAAGCAGCAGCAAATGGCAGGAGCAGCTCCACCCGCGACTTCCCAGGCTGCAGCAGGACGTCTCTCAGGGCCCTCAGACCAACGCTGCCAGGGCCGCCCACGAGCAGGCGCTACCCTGACCCGCCCTGACAGTGGCTGCCTCCTGGGCCTCCACCCTCCAGGCTGCTCCGCTCCCAGGCCTAACAACCACGGGAACCAACCGGGCGGGACCGAGGGAGCACAGGCCCGCGGCCATGGCGCACGGCGCACAGCTGGCCGGGAAAGCACGGCGCACAGCTGGCCGGCACCAGTGTGGCTCAGTGGATAGAGCATCGGCCTGGGAACTGAAAGGTCCCGGGTTCGATTCCAGTCAAGGGCATGTACCTTGGTTGCGGGCACATCCCCAGTAGAGGCAGCTGGTCGATGATTCTCTCTCATCGATGTTTCTAACTCTCTATCCCTCTCTCTTCTCTCTGTGAAAAATCAATAAAATATATATATATATATATATATATATATATATATATATATATATATATATATATATATATATATAAAGTTAGCAATACTGCAGCCGGCTCAGTTCACAGGGAGATCCTGACCCCCGTCCTTTACGGTGGAACAGGACAAGGGAGTGAGCACGGGTGCTGCCCCTGGAAACCCGACAGGACCCTCACGGGATTACAGGGCAGGAACAGCAAAGGGGCTCGATACGGAAGCGTACCCGCCTCCAACAGCCGAACTGGAACCTGCTTTAGCAGGTGTCCTTTGTAACGTGGAGAAGCTGTGACACGGACATGCAGACCCCACTAGCGAAGGTCACTGCCCCGCTGCCCTCACCATGAGGAGGTGACCTGTGGTCACCCGGACGCCCAGTGGACGACAGGAGCCCCTCAAGGCCGCGCTGGCCTCTGGGGCAGAGGCTCCTGCGAGCCAGGCTGGGAGCCGCCCGCGGGCACCGGGAGCCATGCTGCCACCTCAGGTGAAGCAGGCGAGACCACACTGCTGTGGCCGGGACGGGGCGCGGCTTTGCCCAGAGCCTCGCCCGCAGCATCAGGGAGTCACAGGAGCCGTTACACCACCAGCTGCGGCGTGAGGGCAGCAGCAGAAATCAACACAAGGGCCCAAAACACCACATTAGCCCACAGACCAGCAGCTCAACAGACCCAGACGGGACCCTCGTGCCAGGGCCCGGGCACGTCCCGATCAGACCGCCAAGCCCTGACCTGGGAGGACGCTCGGCGGGAGGAGCGCACTCCGGACAGAGGGACGCGGGAGGGCGGCAGTGCCTTCCTGGGGAAGCCTGTGGCGCAACCTCAGCCTCCAGTCCACCCAGGGGAACAGCCTGAAAGGTGAAGGCTGAACGCCGTCAGACAGAGGCGCCCAAGTGCCGGGTGAGCCCTCGGCGGCGCGGAGTGGGAGGGCAGGGCCTGGGCGTCAGGGGTCTGCCCCGCTCCTCACGGGCGACCCCTCTCAATGCCAAGGGTTACGGCTCCTGGGAAGCCCAGGCCCGGAGGGGCCGCTGTTCGCCTCGGGAGAGCCCGCACTGAGCATGCTCCAGCACCATCGGGGAGGCCCTGACGCGGGTCTGTTTTCAGAGACCGAGCTGTTCGCATTGCCTGGTTTGATTTGGTGCCTAAACGCCAGACCCAGGGAAGCCACGCCCACTTCGTTACAGGCCCACCACGCCCGGAATCACCGGACGCCTTCATCCACAGCTGAGACTAAGCCAGGCCGCTGACCACTGGCCACGGTGGAAGGAAGCACCAGAACAGCGGGGCCGCCGGCCAGGGCCCCTGTGTTACCTTGTAGAACACGTCGGGCGCGTACTGCTCGCTGCTGGACTCCTTGGCGTAGCCGAGCTCGGGCGCGTCCTTGCAGGGCAGCAGGCACTCGTCCCGCACCAGCGCCATGCACTGGTTGGACACCTGGTAGCCTTCGAAGTGCACCTGGTTGTCCGGACCGCCTGCGAGAGACGCCGTGAGTGCCAGGGTCAGGCAGCAGCCGTCTGCTCCGCCAGACCAGAGCGGCAGCCGACAGGCCCTGCGGTACCGGAGCTCAGACCCCCCCGCGGCCCTCCCAGGGCCCGAGCACCTGAACGCAGGGCACGGAGCCGCCACCACAGCCCCACCCAGGGCTCTCGCTCTCAGAATCAGGGAGAGGGGGTGAGCACTCCCCAACATCCGCCCAAACCCGGCTCCGAGCCAGAGCCTGGGCTATCGGTTATAGCTTTCACGCAGCCAGCTTTCATTCCGGGGTGTGTGTGGGGGGGGTTTCAGCTGGAGGCGCGAAGCGGGAGAGAGAAGAGCAGGCCGGAGCGTCGCAGCCAGAGCATCGGCCGCACTTGCATCACCGCCTCAGTCTGCCTCCGGGAAACCTGCACGGCCAGCAGAGCTGCTGCGAGCCCTGCCAGGGCACCGCCTCCTGCACCTGCGCCCCACACACAGTGCTCTCCGCCCCCCAGTCCCACAAGCCTCCAGGGAGAGCCCGTGAAGGCTGAGGCCGAGGGCAAACAGCTGCTGAGCGCGAGTGAGGTGGCCAGTGCGGCCAAAAGGAGCCGCGTTCTAAATGTGCCTTTGGCCCCCGAGTAAGTCCCTGTAGAAACAGGCGTTAACGGGCAGGCGGCCTCGAAGCCCAGGGGAGCCTAAAAGAGCACGTGGGGGGGGGGGTGCTCTGAACACCAGGGAGGGCTGGCTGCTCAGCAGCGGGGAAGGGCTGGGGCTGTAGGCAGATGCAGTAAAAGACGCAGACATTGCTGGTTCAGGAGAGGCCGCCCCCCAGCTAGGCACAGCCAGCACACTCAGGCACACAAAGCACAAGGATACTTTTCCATTGGTTTTTAGAGAAAGTGGAAGGGAGGGAGAAGGAGGGGGAAGGAGGGAGAGAGAGGGAGGAGAGAGGGAGGAGAGGGGGAGTAGAAAGGGAGAGGATGGGAGGAGAGGCAGTGGGGGTAGAAAGAGGCACATCAATTAGTTGCCTCCCCCACGGGCCCTGACCAGGACCCAGGGATTGATGCTCCAACAGAGGCACGTGCCCTTGACAGAATCAAACCCGGGACCCTTCACTCTGCGGGTCGACACTCTGTCCACTGAGCCACACCAGCCAGGGCGACAACCCTGTTCTGATTATGAGATTCGGGTGGAGCCGAGGGAGGGTCCCCTCAGCTCAGAGCTTCAGGCAGTCTCTTCGCCTCAGGAAACTGTCTGGGAGGATGACGGGGAACAAGCGGGTGCACAGCGTCACGGCTGACTACCTGTGGCCACAGCAGTGACAAACTTGGAGCCGAAGTGGCCGTCCGGAGAGAGCCGGCACATGTTGGGGTGCTTGTTCTGGAAGTCCCCGGCGGTGATGCACTCCTCCGCACTCAGGAAGTAGGTGTCCTGGGGAGACAGCAGGTCAGCTAGGCCCCATGTCCTGAGACCCCGAGGCCTGGACAGCAGCACGCCAGGAGCTGAGGCAGACCCATGCCCACGGCGCCTGGCCTCAGACCCTCCTGAGACCAGCGGCCCCAGCTGCCTCTGAAGGCTGCTCTGGGGGGAGGGGGGGGTGCTCTATGAGCAGACTGAGTGGACCCCGCTGCAGTCAGCGAGCCGCCCTCACCTTGTTCCGACTGTACCGTACGGTGCCCTTGCGGGTGTCTTCCGAGACGAGGTCTGTGAATATCCAGCCAACCTGCCAACAAGGACAGGGCCTGAGCCTCCCCCGAGCAGCCAGGCCACACCTGGGCTCCCAGCCTGCTCCGCTCCGGGTGGCCACCCTCCTGGTGAACAAGCCAAACTCACTGACCCGCCAGCCAAAGGCATGCCCAGCACTGTGCCAGGTGCAGGGACCCACGGTCAGCAAACGGGACAGACCGTCCCTGGACACAAGCACACGGCGTGTCTCGGTGCTGGCAGGAACCCAGGCCTGGAGCAGCACCCCGGGAACTGAGGCTGAAGGGAGCACCAGAGGGTGCAGAGTGAGACCCTCCCAGCTGCTGAGCCGTCAGAAACCCTGGGTCCTCGCCGGGGTGGCCCCGAGGTGTGTCCTGCTACCATGATGGTCTGTGCCCGGCCCTGCCCGCGAGCCTCCAGCCTTCATGAAGCCGATTGGCTGGGAGTCCACGGGCTGGATCCGGGCTCACACCCACTCCCGTGCCCTGGAGGAGCGAGCTGGTGCCCAGGCCGCTCGCCTGCACAACCCTGACCCAGAACTCTTCAAACCGGCTGCGGCACACACGACCAGGCAGACTGGAAACTGTGCTTCCCTTTAAAATGCCCAAATGCACAAAGAACCAGGGGTGGCCATGAGGAGAAGGAGCTGCAGGGGCAGCTGTGAGGAGGCAGCAAAGGGGCAGACCCACCGGCCCAAGGTGAGGAGGCTGGGGAGGCAGTGTCTGCAAAAAGGCATTTAGGTAACTCCAGGTCCTCCCTGTAGTCACGGTTACCATGAACTACATGCGTGTAACCAACACAGGTCAAAAAGCCATCACGAGAAAAACTCCCAGGACCAGGACAGAAACGTGGCCCTCCTCGGAGCTGCTGAGCCGTCAGAAACCCAGGGACATCTTTCCTACAACACATTCGCCTGCACAGCTGGGGAGAGCACGTTTCCTGCGGCCCCGCACTGACCAGAGGGAGTGTTTTCACTGTCCACACGGATCTGCCAGGAAAGGGACTAACAGTGAGCCTCTAAGCTGTGTTCAGACTCACAGCTCGACAGACTCAACATGGAGCTGTCGATCCCACCTTCAAGTTTCTGGCCACCTCACAAGAAGTGACGAGACAAGTTAGGTCCGTTGTCAGCAAACTGCGGCTCTTCTGCCCCTTGAGTGTGGCTCTTCCACAAAATACCACAGCCTGGGCGAGTCTATTTTGAAGAAGTGGCGTTAGAAGTTTAAGTTTAAAAGACTTGGCTCTCCATGCCAAGACCTGTTTGGCTCAGTGGCAGAGCGTCGGCCTGCGGACTGAAAGGTCCCAGGTTCGATTCCCGTCAAGGGCATGTACCTTGGTTGCGGGCACATCCCCAGTAGGGGGTGTGCAAGAGGCAGCTGATCGATGACTCTCTCTCATCGATGTTTCTAACTCTCTATCCCTCTCTCTTCCTCTCTGTAAAAAAAATCAAAAAAAGATATTAAAAAAAAAAAAAGATTTGGCTCTCCAAAGATGTCAGTCATTGTACTGTTGACATTTGGCTCTGTTGACCAATGAGTTTGCCGGCCACTGAGCTATGTCAACAGGCTCAGCAAGCAGCTCCGTGTCCTAAGGGCCTCCCGCGCCCCCGTGATCAGGGCTCAGTGACAGAGGTCACACCGGCTCCAGCCACGTGGAGCGTGAGCACGTGTGGGCCTTGGCCAGAGGTGCCGCGTGCAGGGAGGAGCGCCCGCCTGAGGTGGCAGCTAAATGTCACGGCCTGCGCTGGGTCGTTCCTTCTATGCTCGGGACATGTCCGCATCGCGCTGAGTCAGAAAAACATAAAGCGATCGGCACCCAGTAACACAGCGAGGCATCAGACCGCGGGCCGCCGGCTGTGAGCAGCCGAGGGCTCAGTCCGGCCCGGGCTGGCACGCTCCCTCCTGGAGGACCCCCCGGAGCCCAGCTCCACCAGTACCTTCCTCAGGCCCAGCTTGGCAGCGATTTCGTCCACCACCTCGGCTTTGGGGTCTTCGAGAAGCTCCAGGCTGTTCTGTGTGCCAATCTGTGGGCAGTGAAGGGAGGGATTGGAGGAGTGGCTCAGAGGAGTGCGGGCCCCACTCCCCCGGGCGTCACTGACACGCAGGAGTGCCGGGCACCCTGGCCTAGAGGAGGGCAACAGCAGTGGAGAGAACTCCATGCCGCCAGAGAACACACAGCCCCCGCCGGTTCACGTGTCCCTCGCTGCGTGTGCTTCCAGTCCAGACGCGGACACGGAGAGCCGATGTCGCAGCGGCACCGCCAGCGTGGCTGCCGAGCTCAGAAGGGCCCTCCATCAACAGTTTCACTGTGGCTGGCTCACACCCAGCAGTAGGTGATGCTCGTGTGGCCTTGAACCCGCACTGGAAGGCAGCTGCAGTCAGCAGGGAGAAGTGTGCTGAGCAGAAGCGCGGCTGCAGAGCCAGGACAGCGAGCAAGCCCAGCTCCCTACCTGCACCTGCCCACCAGCCGCCCTGGAGAGCCACAGAGCCGCCTGTTGTGGTGTCCCCGTCTGGGACCACTAATCCTTCAGAGCAGAGGCCAAGTCATCCTCGGGACAGACCCTGGGACCCTGTTCGCGACACATGCAGCCTGAGCTTCAGCCCCCAATGAGCGAGAGGTGGGGCTGAGGGGGCCATGGGCAGTCTGGGCGCCAGAGGTTCCTACCCCGATCTCTTGCTCAGCCTCACGCTGAGCTGAGCCCTGTGCCTGGGGAAGAGGGCAACCACCAGGCTCTTTTAGAGGGCTCTTTGCTGCCACCTAGTGTCCCCTCGTCAGGGCACCACACAAAGGCACCTCGTGGTAGCTCAGTAAACACTGCAAATGCCCAGAGGAGGGAGGAAGACTGCACTCCTACCTACCCACAGAGGCCCTGGCCCTGGCAGGCAGCCCAGGCCCGCACACAGCCACGGCCACGCGCCTCCTCAGACGGGTTTGTGTATAAAGCAGGTGGTCGTAGCGCACTCCCCCGGGCAGGTAGACCCACGGGACCGAGGCCGGGAACAGTGAGGGCCCGTGGTATCTGCGTAACTAACACAGTCAGACCTTGGCAACTAGACTGGGAAACGCTGCCGGTGGCACTGCCTGCAGGGGAGGGGGCAGGAGGAGGAAACGCCTTGAGTCTGACTTTAGAAATGGGCCATTTCCCCCAAACACAGAGCAGTCACCAGAGCCCCGTGGGCAGCGCCTCGCTCAGCTGCCAGTGTGCTGTGCTCTTCCACCCGCGCCTAGCCACCCCGCCCATCCCATGATCCAGTGCCGACACGAGTACACTCCCGTGGCGGCGGGCACTGCTCCCTGGAACTCACACCCACGGTGTGTGCAAGCAACCCTTCAGCTCAACATAAAACCACCAATGAGCGTGAGCCGTGACTGACTGGTGGCCTCGTCATAAGGAAGGATCCTCCCCGTAGCTTTACTTTTCCTTTTTAATTTTAATATTTACTTCTTAAACCTCACCCAAAGACAGCTCATTGATGTTAGGGGGGGAGGGAGAGAACACCCACCAGTTTCCTTCCCACAGGCCCCCGGCCCGGGGCCACACCACAGCCTCGGAATGTGGTCCGACGGGGACCGAGCCTTTCGGTGTATGGGTCAGCACCCCGAGGAGCTCGGCCACTCCGCGAGGGCCCACGTGACTTTACAGCAGTGACAGCCCCGGCCGGTGTGGCTGTTAGCTGGGCATCATCCCTACACCAAAAGATGGCTAGTTCGATTCCTGGTCAGGGCACGTGCCTGGATTGGGGGCTCCATCCCCAACAGGGGGCGTGCAGGAGGCACCAACTGAGGTCTCTCTCATATCGATATTTTTGCTCTCTAAAAATCAACATCGTAAAAAGCCAACACGCACAGTAACAGAGGTACCCTGAGGACCCTCACCCCCACCAAAGCCTTCTACTGTTTTCAGTCCAACACCAGCGGCAATGCCGGCCATGCTCTGAGCTGGGGTGGGGGGCCCGGGGTGAAGACCACGTGACCCTGCTTCCGCTACGCCTGGAGAGCAGAGCCGGGGGAGAGGGAAGACTGCGGACACTGGGCGCAGCTGAGGCAAGTGGACGGCCGATGGAGGAGAGAGAGAGAGAACACTGCCAGCGTCCAGTTTACTGACGTTGACAAATGTGCCTGTCCCGTGAGAGGACATCCTGGCGCTCTCATGTCCTTCAGGGAAACACACTGAAGTACTCAGGAGCCATGACCTTCCTCTCCGATAATCCAGGAAATAAGCATCGTGTGTGTGTGTGTGTGTGTGTGTGTGTGTGTGTGTGAACAGACACAGGGCAAAGGACGAAACAAAAGCAGCTACAACCTGAGGCCGCACAGCCTCGGGGAAACGCAGACCCACCTGCGGAGGCTCGTAGATGGCGGCCACCTCGGCCCGGATGCCCAGTGGGATGTCCTTGTGCTCCGTGTACCGCCCATACAGGTACCCGAAATGCTGGTTCCCCGTCTTCCTCCAGAAGTCAAGGAAGCGGTCAGCGACCGTGTGGTTCTCGAACATGATGTTGTCCACGTGTCTGTATTTCTGTAGAATTAACAACATTGGACTAAGTAAAAAAATCCATAAAAATAAGTAGCCTTTTTAAAATTAAATAACAATTAAAAATAAATAGCTTTGACCTGGCTCTCCTCTCTCTCTCTCTCTCTCTCTCTCTCTCTCTCTCTCTCTCTCTCACACACACACACACACACACACACACACACACACACACGGTTTAGAACAGCGGCTGCCAACCTTCCAGACCTGTCGGACCACCGGTGGCGACCACCTCTTTACAATGTGCCACTTCAGAGCGTGCCTCAGGACCACCTCTGGGTAAGTGGGTACACGGGGAGAAGGATTCCTCGATAAGTTAATTCAAATGAACCATACTGGGATTTCTCCTAAAATGGAGGTGTTCAGAGTCTCTAGAGCACATGTGTCAAACACAAGGCCCGCGGGCCAAATCCGTCCCAATCAGGCCTTGCAATGTGGCCCGCACCGCGCTGTCATCACTGCACTCCGCTGCGTTTCCATCACAATGACAGTTTATGACTGTTCAGTAAACTATTCGGCCCGCGATTTAGGCTGGATTTTAGATTTTGGCCCCTTCTCTGATTGAGTTCGACACCCCTACTCTAGAGGAAAGGATAGTTCTTGGAAAGAAAAGAACAAGGGGAGAGCGGGAAGGGGAAGGGGAGGAGGAGGAGGAGGAGGAGGAAGGGGAGAGGGAGGGGGAGGGGAAGAGGAGGGGGAGGAGGAAGAGGAGAGGAGAAGAGGAGGGGAAGAGGAGGAGAGGGAGGGGGAGGGGGAGGAAAAGGAGGGGGAGGGGGAGAAAGAGGAGGCGGAGAGGGAGGAGGGGGAGAGGGAGGAGGCAGAGGAGGGGAGGAGGAGGAGGAACGATTTCCAGACGGACAGGGTTCCCTGAGGAGCAAACGTGGCTGCAGCGGCAGGAACACAGTGGGCTGTCTTGGGGCAGGGCCTCAACTACAAAGGCCAGAAGAACCCGTTTTCCTGGTTCTTTTCCTCCGGCTTCAGCCCGCATCCTGGGCAGGTGCCCCAGGCCTGGGATCCAGAGGCTCGAGGTCTCGAAAGGCCAGGCCACAAGCACGGAGCGGCAGGAACAGCCACGGGAAAGTTTGCCTCCACGTAAGCTGACAAAACAGGAAGCTGGCGCCACCCCTGCTGGCAAGAGCTGCCGGCCTCACAGGCACATCTTCGGGTGCCGGTGCCCACGGGTCCGCCTCGGCCAGCACACTGGGATCTGCCTCGCGGGACGCTCTGCGAGCAGCAGCTCCCCTCCAGGCCATGTGCACCCTCAGCCACGAAACCCGCTCCCGCCGTCACTCACCTGTCTGTTCAGCGTGATGGCGCTGGGCTGGCACTTGGTGCAGATCCCATTGGGCCACGGGAGGTGTCCCTCACACCCCGACTTAATCTTGCAACTGATGTTCTCCAGGGCAACAAACTTCCCCCTGACAAGAGCCAACGTATTAGCCGTGACAATACGGGAACCGGCAGGAGACTGGCAACGATATTCAAACACTGTCCGCTCTGAACAGAGCTCTGCGCGCCCCGGAGGAGCAGCAGCGAGTGGCCCGGCCTCCCCCGCACTGGACGCCAGGACCGCCCCGCTGTTCCCACAGAAACCATTCGACTGCCCGTCAGCTCCAACTGCCGTGGAGGCTTTCAGAAGACTGCGGGCCCTGGCTGGTGCGGCCCGGCTGGCTGAGCGTCCTCCGTGCACAGAAGGTGCAGGCTCGGTCCCCAGTGGGGCATGCAGAAGGCAGTCAATCAATGACTCTCTTATCCCTGATGTTTTTATTTCTCTTTCCCTCTCCCTTCCTCTCTGAAATCAATAATATGTATTTTTAAAAAGGGTACTAGTAGCCGAAACCGGTTTGGCTCAGTGGATAGAGCGTCGGTCTGCGGACTGAAGGGTCCCAGGTTCAATTCCGGTCAAGGACATGTACATTGGTTGTGGGCACATCCCCGGTAGGGGGTGTGCAAGAGGCAGCTGGTCAATGTTTCTCTCTCATCAACGTTTCTAGCTCTGTATCTCTCTCTTCCTCTCTGTAAAAAATCAATAAAATATATTATTAAAAAAAAAAGGGGGGGGGGTACTAGTGAGAATCTGTTGATCTAACCTGTGCCCCTGAAGGGAAATGCAATGCTTTTTAAGTTTCATTAATTCACAGCGACACTCACACCGTGAGACGCAAACCTTGAGGTTTATAAAAATTGTTTTTTCTCAGGAAAAAACTGATTAGGGTGCACAATGACAGCTTCACTCTGCTTTTGGCCAAAAGCAAAACCTGTGGCTAGCAGCCTGCCAGCAAGGAAGCACTGGCCCTGCTCTGAACTGGGGCGAGCCTCTGCCATGTCCTCCCCACAAAGTGGCCCAAACACTCGGCCTCGTCTCCCAGGCCACGGGCCTCTGCTCGGAGGGTGTGGGGAGTGGCTGCCGCCACGGTGGTCACAGGTTGGTGACAGCTATAAACGTGTCCCCAGACCCCAAGGTCCTTGACTCAGACGGAAGAAAGGCTGACACAGTCATGCCCCTGGTCCAGAAAGTTCCATAGCTCATCCCACTGGCAGGCAAGAATGCGTTTCTGGTGGATTTTTTCTCTCCTGGCCAAACATTTTTAAAAGTCATTTTAGGATGTCAGCAGGCTGTCAGCGAAAAACGACCATCAGGCCACAGGCTGCTGCTGACGCAGGTTCACCATCTCTTGCTGAAGGGCAGGAATGAGGCATCACAGCAGGAAGTCTATCCCTCTCTGGCAAGTGACTGGTCAACAGAAGGCCCACAGGCAAGGACTTGACATGGTTTGAAAGACCTCAAAATGGTCGGTCTCTGGCCACCATCTCGGCCTGCACTCCAAGGAAGAGCCACTTGCTGCCGCCGCCCATGCCCGCCTGGCTGAGCCTGCAGACACGGCAGCCATGCCAGCGCCGCTGCTCCAGACCCACAGGGCTGCTGCACACCAGGCTCTGGGCAGGGGCTGACGGAGGTGGTCCGACATGACCATGGGGTGGTTCTCTTTTTCCAGAAAGCAGGGCAAAATCTCAGACACCCGCCACAACTGGCCCCCATCACCTTATCTCACCCACCTGCACAGACCAGGGTTGAAGTGGCCCGGGCACTGCACACCCAGGATAGCCTGGGAAGTCCCTGGGGCCTCCACAGTGGCATCGCCAGCCTGGCACCTGCCCAACACCCCAGGCATCAGCGTCCCCTTTCTTTCCCACAATCGGGAAAACGGAGTCCAAGTGCTAGGCCCCGATGCCCGTCTTTGCTTCTTATTTACCTGCCCAGTGGCTTCAAGCCACACCTACCCACACTCACACACACCTTCCGACCCGCAGGCACTCACTTGTCAGCGCCCCCGGTCAGCTTCCGGATGTAGGCGTGGAAGGACATGTGCTTCACCGGCGGCTCCAGGTGGTTTAGGTAGTCCTCATCGAACGGCTGCCGAGACAGTCAGCATCACCAGCTGCTGCTCCTGCCGGCCGGGCCACAGGCTGGCGCGGGAGGACGGGTGCGGCAGGAGGGCCAGGCCAGGGGCAAGGGGGGCTGGGATTGGCGCTCTCTACCGCTCTGGGTCAGGACCCAGGTTCTTTGGGTCCCTATCTTTTCAAGATGGAAATGGAACCCTATTAAATATAAATCGCCCCAAGTCAAATAGTATTGGGAACATTTCCCCCAAAAAGTCACAAGATGAAGAAAGAGAAGCCGAGGGGCTGCCCCTGCCGTCACTCAGCCCGGCCAGTCGCCGTCAGCACGCCCACGCTGGCTCTCCATCTCACCAGACGGAGCAGCAGACGTGGGACTGGGGGCGAGGCAGATCTAAAAGACGAGGAGCACAAAGTCCTGGCGCAGCTGTGTGTCAGGCTAACGGATGGGCCAGGAGCCCGTGAGCACGGCCCTTCATCACAGAAACAATGCTGAGCCGGCCACAACCCGCCCCAAGGTCGCCGCAATAAATAAGGGCTGCCTCCGCGCAGCCTGCATGGAGGGAGGACGAGGCCAGGGCAGTAAAGAGACGCGTCCTCTAACCCAGCGCAGGCAGGGCCCAGGGAGAGCCGAGCCGGCCGGGAAGCAGGAGTCTGCACTCACCTCCAGCGGAACGCAGTGCACACACTTGCCCAGTGGCCCGTGGCGGCACCTGAGGAGAGCAGGGCACACACACACAGCGGTTAGCGTGCCTGTTCTACTGCTGCCACCACCAAGGTGAACGTGAAGGGACTTAGTTATTTAAACAAATAAAAATCTTAAGGAAGTACTAGCAAAGGCTCCCTGATACAGCAGAACCCCACAGAGGGAGGTAAACAACTGAGTTTGGAAAAAGCCTGGCTCAGGTCCATCACTTCGGGCAGAGAAACCTCGGGAGCTCTGTGCACAAGCCACGTGGACACACACAAGCCACGTCGACACACGCAAGCCTCGTGGACACACACAAGCCACGGGACACACACAAGCCACGTGGGCACGAGAGGGGATAGGCGGTGGGAAAGCCAAGCAGTCCCTCCGGCTCAAACAGAATCCTTTTTTGTTGTTGTTAATCCTTACCTGAGGACACTGCGCACTGCTTTTTCAGAGACAATGGGAGGGAGGAAGGGAAAGGGAGGGGGAGACATCCATGAGACACATGGATTGGCTCCTGTGCGCCAGGCAGGGTGCCCGTGAAAGCTAACCACGAGGTTTCCCCTTTAAAAGAGAGGGAACCCTTCTCCAGCCTCGCCCGCTGCCAGCGCAGAGGTCAGCAGCACGGCCTCTGCAGCGGCGCTGTCCTGCCGCCTGAGACGGGCGTGCTGGTGACGCTCTGAGCGCTGAGCCGTGCATGGCCAGAGCTCCGTCAGAGCCGGTTCTAAACGGCCCTCGCTTAGGTGCCCGAGTCCTCCGTTCCTGAGAGGCTGTTCTCCAACAGGCAGGCTCCATGGCCAGACGAGGGGTCAGCCTGCACACGCACACGCTGCTCAGGAAGCTCAGGGCACTGCCGGGAGCAGGCAGTGGAGCCAGGAGGAGAGGTGCCAGGGCGCTCTGTACTGACGGCTCTTGGACCCGAGACCGACAAGCCGCAAAAGCAGCATCTGGAGCCCCGAGTCTGGGTGTTGGCACCTCCACCCCAGAGAGGACGCCGTTAGCAAGACTCTGCCGCAGACAGGATGTTCACCCAGGCAGCTCTGCTCCCAGGGCGCAGGTCAGGTGTCCTAACGGCTGTCCTTAAGGACTGAAGTCCACCCGGACACGCACACCCAGGCGTCTGTGTGACGCAGAAAGCCAGCGCTCCAAGGGCAGTGTCTCCACAAGGAGGTGCTCACTGAGGAACAGGAGCGAGTCCCTGTGCGACGCCGAAGCCGCTCCCCCTGCACACACGAGGCGGCAGGGGCCGGCACCCTGCACACGCCGGCACCCAGCTGTCGCCCTTCTCCCGCCCTCCTCCCGCCGTCACACTTCCTCACCCCCTGCCACGGAGCACCCAGGTCTCTGGGCAGTCAGGGACAGCCAGGTCCCTCCTCGGTCCTCCCTCGCTACAAGCAGATGCTTTGTGGACTCACAGCTGTGGGTCTCGGCTCCGGTAGATCTTCCCGTCCTGCCGGCTCAGGTACTGGTCGATCTCATCTTCCACCACGTTGGGAGCCTTCAAGTTCATCGAGGTCGAAGTCTCCATTTCTGACGAGGGTCCCGGCAGGTTCGATGGAAACAGGAACAAGAGGTCGCCATGCCTGTTCAACGACAAACATCAGTCCAGGCCATCTTCCTCCAGCTCCCGGCTGCACACGCGCGCGCACACACACACCCCCACACCCCAGCGTGAGGACCAGGCCGGCAGGGCTGAGCTCAGCCCGAGGCTTCTGCTCCTCACAGAGGCCCAGGCGCTCCGCCGCCTCCCCTCCCGTCTCCGTTCCCGGCTCCCTCCGCTCCAGCTCCGAGGCCAGCAGCAGGCTCTCTGCACGGTGCCTTCCCTGCCCACGGCACGTGAGCACCGGGCCTCACGCCCACACGCCTATCCAGCTCCGCAGAGGACCCAGCAGACGCAGGACCGCCTCCTTACGATGTTCTGATCACAGACCCTCCACCCCTCGACTTCCGGCTGCCGGCTAAGATTCTGCTTTCATGTGCGGTTGGGAGCCACGTGTTTACTGGGGAATACCTGCCTGTGAGTGGACCTGCGCAGCAGACCCTCCTCGGTCAGGGTCAGTGTAGTCACAACACAGACCGGGGCCGGCAGCTTATCTCTCCATCTCCTGCTGGTCTCGGCCCCCTTTCCTTCATTCGCTCCTAAGCCCCTGTCCAGCTCCCCATCCTATTGCTTTGGACACATCCTTCCATTCCTTCCTCCTTGTTCCTCACACGCACACACGGGTGCACACACACGAATCTCAAAGACATACTGTCTGTATTTGCTTTTTTTTATCCTCACCTGAGGATCTTTTTCCATTGCTTTTTAGAGAGAATGGAAGAGGAAAAAACAAAAATATCTGTGAGAGAAACACATTGGCTGGTTGCCTTCTGCGTGAGCCTGCAACCTAGGCACGTACCCTCGACTAGACTCGAACCTGGGACCCTTTGTTCACAAGCCGAAACTCTATCCACTGAGCCAAACGGGCCAGGGCATGCTTTTTTTTTGGGGGGGGGGGTGTGTGTGTCAGGAATTTCTGCCCAGGTCCCAGGTTTTCTTTTTTTCAATATATTTTTATTGATTTCAGAGAGAGAAAAGGAAAGGAAGAAAGAGAGACATCAACAATGAGAAAGAATCATTGATCAGCTGCCTCCTGCACACCCCCAACCAAGAATCAACCTGAGCCAAAACCGGTTTGGCTCAGCGGTAGAGCGTCGGTCTGTGGACTGAAAGGTCCCGGGTTCGATTCCGGTCAAAGGCATGTACCTTGGTTGCGGGCACATCCCCGGTAGGGGGTGTGCAAGAGGCAACTGGTCGATGTTTCTCTCTCATCGACGTTTCTAGCTCTCCATCTCTCTCCCTTCCTCTCTGTAAAAAATCAATAAAATATATTTTTTTAAAAATTAATAAAATATATTAAATAAAAAATTTAAAAAAAGAATCAACCTGAGGTCTGGTCCACCGGTGGCGCTCAGCCCCTCAGCCACACGCGGGTTGCATGTGCTGTTTTCACGGGACAACACAGCACAAACCGGCCCACAGTCTCTCTGACGGCACCTCTGGTGGCTGCACGCCCTCCGTGGGGAAGCCGCCTCAGAACACATCTGTGGCACCCACACTGACAGCGTGCCCGTGGCCCTGCCACCAAGAACATTTCCACAGAGGAAAATGCTCACACAAGCAGACACGCACGCGCGCGCGCACATACACACACACACACACACCCGCCCCTCAGGGTGCTCACTTGATCTTCAGCAGGTTGAGGGACTTGTTGGAGGACGCTGTGATCTCTCCGGTCTTGTTTCTGTTGACGTACACTGAGAAGCCGTTATTCTGGAAGCCGAACTCCTTGGCGACCTAAAGGGCCCAGACAGAGATTCGCTGACGTGGCTCCGCAGTCCTCTGGCTACACGCAGCCGCGGTGTCTGCGACACGCCCTCATTCAGAAAGGGCTCCGGTCCCCGCAGTGCTCTCCTGAGGACGTCAGGGAGTGCTGCTTACACAGAGGCCAACCACCTGAGAGAAGTGGCAAAAAAGGAGCAAAGCGCCACGTAACGCTGAGACTGAGCGGCAGTTCAGAGCCAGAGCTGTCTGGAGGTGTAACTTCTGTTGAAATCAAGTGTGAAAACCCAATTCCAACGTGGACCCTACGACAAGAACGAAGCAGCAGAGGACACCTGTGCATCTGCGCTGAACGCCCACTGGGCCGGGGGCCGGGCCACGCCCATAGGCACAGGCACCCAGCAGCAAGCAGCCCTCGTGTGGGCTCCACTCTGGTGCCTGAGCAGTGGGTGACACAGACAGGCTCCTGCCATCGAGGGTCTTAATACCAACAAGGGAGCTGAAACCGGTTTGGCTCAGTGGATAGAGCGTCAGCCTGCAGACTGAAAGGTTCCGGGTTCAATTCCGGTCAAGGGCATGTACCTTGGTTACGAACACCTCTCCAGTGGGGGGGGGGGGGGTGGTGCAGGAGGCAGCTGATCAATTTTTCTCTCTCATCGATGTTTCTGACTCTCTATCCCTCTTCCTTCCTCTCTGTAAAAAAATCAATAAAATATAATAAATAAATAAAATACCAACAAGGGAGACAAAGTCAGCAAAGACGGAGACTCCAGGGCGGGAAGGAAGAGTGAGAGCCCCGAGCACAGGCTGGGCAGAGCCGCACAGGCAGAGCGGGAAGAGCGGCAGCAGGCCTCTTCCGCCATGCTCTGTACAGGAGCCGGCATGGAGGAGCCACTGCGGGCGTCAGCAGGAGGGGCCGGTTAACATGGAAGCAGGCTAACAGAAGCTACACAGGGACGTGAACAGCCGAGGAACCCTCAGGAAGAGAGTCAGAACAGAACTGAGACACATCCTGAAGGAAATGGCTGGAAACCTCCACTTTGGTGAAAACCACGGAATGAGGAGCCGGGAGCCCAGCAGACCTACAGAGCGGCAGGAAGGAAGCTGTCCCGGCACAGGTGGGCCTGCGCTGAACGGGGCCGGGACCCGAGGACACTGCAAACACAGCCGAAGGCAACGAGAGAGGACGCAGCATGACTCCGCCAATAAACTCAGGCCAGGGAGGCACGCTGAGGAGGTGGCACACAAAAGGGTCAGGAGAGGGGTGCCGGGGTGGAGGAGCTTCCGGAATGCTGGCACCACCCCCACTGTGACCTGGGCCTTTGGGTCACCATTTTCCAAGCATTTCTCAGTCTGAATTTCATGGTTTTAAAAAGCTTCCAAGAGTTAGAAGAAGGGACTGCGTCACATGCTGCTGAGCGGCCAATTATGACCGGACCAGGAACCGCCCCCGAGAAGAGCAGGTCGGACCTGGGTGACTCGATAGGAGCCGTCTCAGGAGGGACAGCAAAAGGCAGACAGCGCCCGGGCCTGGCGGGAGGCGGCCTGAGAAACTGCCCTGGCGGCCGAGACGCAGAGAGGGACTGGGAGGAGCTGAGGGAGGAGCAGCAAGAACCAGGACTGAGTTCTGTGAGGCATTTGCAACGACAGGATGTCAGCACGCCTGCCCACCTCCGCTCCCTCACAGGGCGTGAGGCCATGTGTCAACAGGGCCAAGGCCAATGGCTGTGGTGCCAGCAGCTAGAGCCAGCCGTGCCAGAGGACGACACACCCTCCCCAGGCGATGTGCGAGGGCAGAGGCCAGTTCAAAGCCCCACAGGGCACACATGTACAGCCAAATTATCCGGTAAAAATGAATACAGCCCTCTGCCTGGCCAGTGGCTCAGTGGTTGGAGCACTGGCCCATGTACCACATGGTCTCAGGTTCAACTTCTGGTCAAGGCCAAATACCTGGACTGTAAATTCAATCCCAGTCCTGGTTGGGACATGTATCTGGGGGCAACCAATCAACGTGTCTCTCTCACGTCAATGTGCCCCTCTGTCTCTAAATCCTTGGGACTTTGGTCCTACAACTGTACGCTGTGCCACAACCTGATCCCCTATCAACCCAGCCAATCACAACAGGAAAAAGCAGAGGAGACGGGCGGGTGGGAGGGGAGGAGGAGGGAGGAGGAGCAGCGCCTCGGGGAGGCCACGCGCAGGTACCTTTTTCAGGAACGCCGCGGCCGTCTCCCTCTTCGTCGCTGTGATGCGCTTCACCCCGTCCGGGGACTGAACACGGATGATCTGTTGTAAATGAAACAGGACAGTCACTACAGGAAGTGGGAAGGCCTGGCTCGATCCCCAGAAACAGGAGCAGTCTCCCGGAGCCCCTCCCCCTGGCAGTGCCCACCAGGTGCCCAGGTGACGCAGAGGGCTGATGCTCAGCTTACTGTTCCACTCAGAAGCACACCACCTCAACTCTCAGCCGTCACCCAGAGTGTATCTGAACACTGACATGTTCATCTTCAGGTTCCAAAAAGAGGGAAGGAAAAAAGCCCATGAATCATGAAGGACTGGGTTCCTCAAAAATGACCAAACTTTGTTCCAGGATCTAGACACACTCATTAGACTGATTTAAAAGCACCAGTCCTGGCTGGTTTGGCTCAGTGGGTAGAGCATTGGCCTTCAGGCTTGATGTTTTTCTCTCTCTCTCTCTCCCTCTCCATTCCTCTAAAATCATTGGCTTGTGGTGAAGATTAAATGTGTGTGACATGGTGTGACACTTAGCAGGATCGTAAGAAAGTGTAAAACAGCATCATTTTCCAGGACCTGATTTCATCTGACCAAAGCCCTTTGGAGGGTGAGTGGGGCAGGAGACAGCACCTGGAGGGGAGGGGGCATGCCAGACAGGAAAATGTCAGAAGATCCCCTCTGAAACACTAGGCAGATGAAAAATGTCAAAGCCATTTTTTTGAATGAGATTCACTGACATGACAAAATGCCACAACAGCTTTAATCTACTGTCTGCTCTAATCAAAGAATCGAGATTTTCCTAAAATAGCTTGACTGTCCTCATATTCTATTACCGTGTTTCCCCGAAAATAAGACATCCTCCGAAAATAAGACCTACTTACAGCTTTCCTTCTGAGTGAAATATAAGGCATCCCCCCCCGAAAATAAGGCCCCCCTAGGCTAAACATGAGAAATTTGGTCCACTGATTCTGAAAGAAATGGAGTCACAAGAAATTCACCAGGAAATTCAGGAATTAGATTGTTAGGATGATGTTCCAGAAGATGATGACATGATTGTCATTGAATAAATGAGTAAATTCTTGATACTGTAGGATTCAGTGTGTCTGGTTTGTGTTGACAACTACCGTACTACCGTACCATATACAGGTAATAAACTTCCTTTATTTTCATTTAACAATCAATGTGTACCGTATTCTTCTTCATGGAAAAATAAGACATCCCCTGAAAATAAGACCTAGCGCATCTTTGGGAGCAAAAATTAATATGACAGTCTTATTTTCTGGGAAACAAGGTAGCTTTCACTTCACTGAAGAGGCTTTGCTCCATATTCTCCTCAATTTTTACGATGTTTTCAATACTCCCCGCGAAATCCCAATTGTTAAGAGCATGAAATATTCTCTACCCTTCTGCTGGCTTTCTGTGTAGCTGCTTCCCTGTCTGTGCGGAGTACACAGAGGCTTTGGCTTCGAGCTGCCGCCACCGATTCCACACCTGGGAACGCGCTGGGGGCTGAGGCCGAGCCTGCCTTTGACCCTCCACAGCGCTGAGCCCAGCATTTAACTTGCTCCCAACTTCTAACATGGCCCCCAATAAAGCAGCACACCCAAAACACACACACACACACACACACACACACACAGGCAGAGGCAAACCTGCCACAGGGACGCAGCCCTGGGTCGCTCAGCTTTCCCTATTTCTAAGGGAATGAGTTCAGAAAGCTTCTTGGGGAAGGCTAGGAATGGACAAGATGAAGGTCAGTTACACCTACAGAAGTTCTTAGAAGACCTCTCTCCCAACTTTAAAAACCACCACCTGGCCGGCTGGCACAGCTCAGGGGCTGACCATCGACCTCGGAACCAGGAGGCCACCTTTTGATTCCCGGTCAGGGCCCAGGCCCAGGCCGCGGGCTCCATCTCCAGCGTGGGGCGTGCGGGAGGCAGCCGGTCCATGATTCTCTCTCATCATGGATGTTTTTCCCTCTCCCTTCCGCTCTGAAATCAATAAAAGTATTAAAAAACAAAACAAAATACCTGTGGATCAATTCCGGAAGGAGGAAGACCCCTGTGGTCCCCCACAATCTGGGGGACGGAACGGGCTGGGACTGCCCTTAGGGTGAGGGTGTGGCTGCCAGGAGGCAGCTGGGCAGCGGGTCTGAGCTCTCAGCCTGTGTCTAGAAGAAGCCACCACCCATGGGTGAGCTTTATTTCCCCAGGAGGGCCTTTCCCTGGGTCCCCTCCGGGCTGGGCCCCTGCCGGGCGCAGGGAGGCCCTGGCCTGGCCCGGAGCCTGCGGACCAGGCCGCTCCCCGCCCCGCCCGCCCGGCCGCCGGGGGATCCCCAGTCCCTGCCGGCGCCCGGGCCCTCGGTCCACCGGGTCTGGTGACTTTGCTCCCGCCCCGTTGACTTTGGAGGGAAAACTTTCCACGAGTTAACGCGGCCGGTTTTCTATTCTCGGCACTTTTTTTTTTTTTGTCCCGTGAGGGGCACGGCGAGGAGGGTGGGAGTCCTAACTTCAGGAAAGAACTTCCGCGGGGCCCCGGCCCGGACAGGAGCTGTCACCCTCCCCGGCCCGGGGCCGCCGCCCGGGGAGGGGCCTCCAGGGCCCGCGTGAGGCCGCGCCGGCCCCGGGGCCGTGACACCGCACCGTCTGGGGCGGGGGCGGCCGGGGGGCGGCGGGGCGAGCCCAGCACCGCGCCCGCCGGGCGCCCCGCAGCCGCCGCGGAGGCCCGCGGTGAGGCGAGGGCGGGCCCCGGAGGGCCCGGGGGAGGCCGGGCCCCGCAGCCGGCCCGGGGCGGAGGGCGGCGGGCCGCGGGGGCCGCCACAGGCCGCGCCGGCAAATCTGCTGCCTCATCCGGGCGCCGCGCCCGCCCGCCCCGCGCCCCACTCACGATGCTCTCGGCCATGGCGGCCGCTCCCGCCTCCGGGCTCGCCGCCCGGGCCGCCGCCTGCCGCCCCGCGGGCCTCGCGGTCCCTGCCCCGGCCTCAGCCCCGGCCCCGGCCTCCCGCCGCCGCCGCCACCGCCGCTCCAGCTTCGCCGCCGCCGGACAGCCTCAGCCGCGACGTCCGGTGCCTCGCGAAACGCGCTCCGCCGGCCGCGCAGCCCCGAACCCGGGTTCCGGCCGCACCAACGGCCGCGCATGCGCACGGCGGCCCGCGCTCGCCCCGCCCCGCCCCGCCCCTTAGGGGACCTGGCCCCGCCCCTTAGGGCTCGGCGCGGCCCAGAGCCAGGACCCAGCCCCGCGGGAAACCCAGGGGGTGGTGGGTGTGTGTGCACCTGGAGCTAGCGGAAAGGACTAGTGAGCTGCAATTCAAAAATTTATATATGTATTTGTCGATACCGGTGTGGCTCAGTGGGTAGAGCGTTGGCCAGCGGACTGAAGGATCCCAGGTTCGATTCTGGTCAAGGGCATGTACCTTGGTTGCAGGCGCATCCCCAGTGTAAAAGGCAGCTGATCAGTGTTTCTGTCTCACTGATGTTTCTAACTCTCCCTTATTTTGTAAAAACAAAACAAAACAGTAAAATATATTTTAAATAATATAAAATGTATATATTTTTCTTGAATTCAGAGGGGAAGGGAGAGGAAAACATCGATGAGGAGAGCGCATCAGGATGGGCTGCACCCTGCCCTGGGGATGAGCCGAGGGCGTGTGCCCTGAACAGGCTGCTGCGAAGCAGGCCCTTCAGTCCCGGGCTGACGCTCGGTCCCCTGAGCACGCCGGCTGGGCTCAGCTGCATTTATTTTTGTTTTGTTTTCTTTCTTTTTTTTTTTTCCTTTGGCTGCAGTTCAGTGAATGTCTCTCTGCCTACACGTCCGGAATTCCGTGTGCCCCAGCGCCGCCTCCCCACCTTGAAATTGTTAATTTTGAACAAGGAGCCTCAGGTTTGCATGTTGCACTGGGCCCTGCAAATGTAGCTGACCTGGCCCTTGACTGTAAAAGAAATTATGAAAACATTCAAGAGTTCGCCTATGTGTGGTGTTTTTGTTTGTTTGTTTGTTTTTGTTTGTTTTTAAGTACGTTCTTGGTGGTGTTATTTTTTTAAATATATTTTATTGATTTTTTTTTTTTTAACAGAAGGGAAAGGAGAGAGAGTTGGAAACATCAATGAGAGGGACACATCAATCAGCTTCCTCCTGCACACTCCCGACTGGGGATGTGCCCATGACCAAGGCACATGCCCTTGACCGGAATCAAACCCAGGACCTTTCAGTCCGTAGGCTGATGCTCTATCCACTGAGCCAAACTGGTCAGGGCGAAAGCCTGCAGTTCACTTTCAAATTGTATTTATTTAACTGCTGTGCTGGAAAGAGTCAGGAACTTGCTACTCTCGCTGTCCTGCCCCTCCATCTGATTTTGTTGTTAGTTACAATGTCAGTGGTTGAGACACATTCTGTGCCATTGACTTATTTCATTACCAATTTTTTTTTTAAGGATTGGTTTCATCTCTCACATGTTTTTATTGATTTCAGAGAGAAAGGGAGAGGGAGAGACAGAGAGAAACATTGATGTGAGGAAAACATTGATTTGCTGCCTCCGTAAGTGCCCCAACCAGGATCAAACCCGCACCGGCCAGGGCTACACTGGTATTACTTTTTTTTTCTTTTTCTTTTAAATGTGTTTTACTGTTGTTGTTTTTTACAGAGAGGAAGGGAGAGAGAGTTAGAAACATCGATGAGAGAGAAACATCCATCAGCTGCCTCCTGCACACCCCCCACTGGGGATGTGCCTGCAACCAAGGTACATGCCCTTGATGGGAATTGAGCCTGGGAACCTTGAGTCCGCAGACCGATGCTCTATCCACTGAGCCACACCACCCAGGGCACACTGGTTTTTCTTTCTTTCTTTCTTCCTTTCTTTCTTTTTTTTTTCTTTCTTTCTTTCTTTTTCTTTCTTTCTTTCTTTCTTTGTAATGTATTTTATTGATTTTTTTACAGAGAGGAAGAGAGAGGGATAGAAAGTTAGAAACCCCACCCAGGGCACACTGGTCTTTCTTTCTTTCTTTCTTTTTTTCTTTCTTTCTTTGTAATGTATTTTATTGATTTTTTTACAGAGAGGAAGAGAGAGGGATAGAAAGTTACAGTAGAAACATCATTGAGAGAGAATCATTGATCAGCTGCCTTTGCACACCCCCTACTGGGGATGTGCCTGCAACCAAGGTACATGCCCTTGACCGGAATCAAACCTGGGATCTATCCACTAAGCCAAACTGGTTTGGGCAACACTGGTCTTTCTTAAGGTATATTAGACACTAGGCACAATGGTGACCATGACAAAGTCCTACCCCTTTGAGTTTTTGTGTGTGTTCTTTTTTAATAAACACTAGGTGTACCGGTTAATAATGCCGATTTTTTTCAATAGATGGAGTTACACATATGTTGATATATATACGTGATGTGATATGTGTGCTATTTCGTGATATTGTTCCTTCAGATGACCACTTGTTCCGATCGAGGGCACACGCACTTTCTGAGCAGCCCTTAAAAACGTACAAAGTGGAAAATTGGGTCTCTAAATGGTCTGCCTCAAAACAAGAAAAGTTGTATTGGGGCAGTATCCACAAATTACCTGGAAGATGGGGGAAATGTGTAGCTAGCGATGGACATTACTTTGACTAAAGCACTTTTGATATTTTTCTTGAAATTACCCTGTTTTCTTTGGATTACAAAATCCGTATTATTAACCGGTTAATAGTCAATCCACACTATTAATCGGTTAATAATCAACCTGAAACATTAACCGGTTAATAGTTAATCTGACCATTCAGAGACCCAATTTTCCACTTTATACGTTTTGAATGGTGCGGTGAAAGGGGTTTCCACACTGGTAACCAGGAAGGACGTGGCCTGTCTCATTTTTTCAGGGAGTAGATGAGGGTAAACAGGCGTTCAGCCGTGGGCGAGTGGCCTGAGACTGTCACTGGGACCAGTTCTCAGGGCTCCCTGTCCCTGGGGGAGCAGGGGAGCTGCCGTGGACACTGCCAGGCCGAGGCCCACACGGGGGCCCCACCGCGATGGCCGTGGGCCGCCCCACCAGTGCGGTGCCACGGAGCGAGGCTGGGAACCGGCACAGGAAGAAGGCGGCTGCAACAAGCAGAGGCTGCCCTGAGCCCTAAAATGTGACTCCTCACATGATCCCATCGTGACTGGGGCATCCCGGTGGGGCTCCGGCTCACCGGCCCAGACAGAGCTCCCGGCTTCCAGAGTGGCGGCACACAGCAGCCAGCCCCCGTGTCCGTGTCGTGTCCGTGTCTCCTCCAGAGAGGCCGCAGGGACCAGCACTCCTGTCCTGGAGGAGGGGGATGGAGGAGGGGGAGAAGCGCCCCCTGCTGCCCCAGGTAAGTCAGTGCCCTGGACCTGTGCCCCTCTCCCCCCAGGCCCCAGAGGAGCTGCTAGGATTGGGGTGGGCTGATCCCAGTCGGGCATCAGGCATTTCCCCGCACCCCACACCCGTTTGGCCTCTGGAGTGTGGCGCAGCCTTGCCCTTGCATTTGACCCGACACGGGGTGCATTCAGGCCCCCAGGCAGGCCAGGCCCAGGAGACAGTGCCCATGGGGCCTCAGGCCCCCCACCCCCTCCACCACCGACTCCTAGCCCCCTCACCTCCCAGGCTCACGTCCCTTTCTGTCTATGGTCTCTGAACTGCCCCTCCATCCGCCGGCTCCCTCACCCTGCCCTGCCGGCTCTGACCCCGGTCCCTCTTCCCTCTGCAGGATGCTGGGGGCCAGGAGCCGCCCGGCCCTGCCAGCTGCCTGGGTTCCAAGAGCCAGGAAGGATGGGCCTGGGGGGCAGGCCTGGGGGGAAGTGGGGCCCCCTCCCCGCTCTCTCTCCCGCTGGGGAGCCGCTGCCTCCAGTGCCTGATCTTTCTGTGCAACTTCCTCTCCTCTCTGCTGGGCCTGCTGGCCCTGGCCGCCGGGCTCTGGGGCCTGGCTGTCAGGAGCTCCCTGGGGAGCAGCTGGGGGGGGCCCCTGCCTGCGGACCCCATGCTGGGGCTGGTGCTGGGCGGGCTGGCGGTCAGCGCGGTCAGCCTGGCGGGCTGCCTGGGCGCCCTCTGTGAGAGCGCCTGCCTGCTGCGCTGCTTCTCGGGGGGCCTCCTGACCTTCCTGGTGCTGGAGGCCCTGGCAGGGGCCCTGGTGGCAGCCCTCTGGGGCCCCCTGCAGGACGGCCTGGAGCGCGCCCTGTGGGTGGCCATCACCCGCTACCAGGATGACCCTGACCTACGCTTCCTCATGGACCAAGTCCAGTTCGGCCTGCAGTGCTGTGGGGCAGCCTCCTACCAGGACTGGCAGCAAAACCTGTGAGTCCTGATGCATACACTCGTACACACCCAGGTGCACACTCCCACCCACTCAGGTGCATACACTCGTACACGTCCAGGTGCACACACTCGTAAACACCCAGATGCACACACTCCCACCCACCCAGTGCACACACTCATCCGCACGCCCCCGTGCAGTCAGGTGGCCATGCAGAGCTCAGCCAGCAGACTTGGGAGGTCGCTTGTGGTAGTTTTTCAGAGAGGGCGGCACACGGAACAGCTCAGGGTCAAATGAAAATGGCTTTTAGGTTAATGCGTGCGTGTCTGTGCCTGTGCCTGTGTGGACTCACCCCCGTGCCTCCTGCATGTGCATTCGGGCCTGAGTGTGGCCTGGGACGGTGTGGAGGTGAGGGGGGGGGTCCGTGCAGGGAGGGGGGTCCCCGGAACCCTGGCCCCCCTCGCACCCTGACCGCCCCCTCTCCCCCGCCCCCCGCAGGTACTTTAACTGCAGCGCCCCCGGCATCCAGGCCTGCAGCCTGCCCGCCTCCTGCTGCCTGGACCCCCGCGAGGGCGGGGCCTCCGTCAACCAGCAGTGCGGCCTCGGGGCGCTGCGCCTGGCGGAGGCGGCGGCCCGGGCGCGGGTGCACGTGCAGGGCTGCGGCGCGCCGCTCGGCCGCTGGCTGCGCGGGGCGGTGCGGGCGGCGGGCGGCGCGGCCATCGCGGCGGCGCTGGCGCAGGGCGCGGAGCTGCTGGCGGCCGCGCACCTGCTGCGGGCCCTGGGCGGCCGCCAGGGGGCGCCGGGGAGCTGCGGGCCGCGCGGCCGGGACCTGTCCGCGACGGCCTCCCGCTGACCTGGGCTGCAGCCTGGACACCGCCTCCTCCACCTGCTGCGCCTCCGCCCGGGCTCCCCGCCCTCGGTGCCCGCCTGGAACTGCTGGCACCGGAAGGTGAAGCCCAGCCGCCGCCTGATTTCTCCCTTAGAGGCTTTTGCCCCTGGGACCCCCCTCCCCCATGGCAACATCCCCTCCCTATAACCCGCTCTGGTCAGAGGCCATCACGTCGAGGGGCAGGGGCTGAATGAGATCCTGCTGCCCACCTCTGACCCAGACCTTCTGTCTGACACCCTGAGGGCATCCTCAGACCCTCACCCCAGCACCGCCCGCTGTGACCCCGACCCCAGCCTCTCCCTCCCTCCGGAGGGCTTGTTTGGGGAGGGTCCATTCTTGGGATGCGTCGTTCACACAGTAAACGGCTGCGATCTCCAGTGGGCAGTGTGAGTTCTTATCCCCGGACACGCCTTTAGGCCCAGCTCCAGCCCGCAGGCTCCCGACCGCCTGCAGCCACCCCTGTATGGCTCACCCCCTCTCTCTGGGGTGGTCTTTTCTGGGGGCCCCAGCGGGCCGTTCAGAGTCGTGGTCTGGCCCCTGCACCTGGCCACGTGGACGTGCAGTATCCGTTGGCACAGGTCCCCGTGGGCACCTGCGTCTCCTGGGGGTGCAGTCAGGAGCAGCATCCCTGGATCCCAGGCGCCAGCCCACCATCTCCGCACCCGGGGAGAGGAGTTCCCTCCTACGGGGCCGTGTGGGCCGCCCCCCGCCCTGTGCCTTCACCCATTTGCTCCTGTGGAGGCAACCTGCACCCTTCCCAACACCCCAGACGAGCCGGCGATGAGGATGGTTTATTTCGAAACAGCGCTGACGGCGGCACCAGCCCTGGCTTCCAGGTGCAGGAGGGGATGTGGGCCCGGCTCCGGAGGCCGGGCAGGGGGCTGCCCTCGCTGCCCTCTGAAGGTCTTCAGACGCAGCCTGACGCCTGGCTGCGGTGGGCGTGGGAGCCGCGGGCCGGACGCGGTGCGGCTAGATGATGCCGTACTGGGCCAGCTCGTGCAGCTCCAGGTGGTTGAAGGCCTCCCACGGGCAGATGACGGTGATGTCTGCGGAGAAGGGGCCCGCCGTCCCCTCAGCGCCCGCTGTTCACACCGCACACGGGGAGACGGTGGGTGCAGCAGGCACAGGGAGGGGCAGCAAGGGTTCCTCCTCCCCAGCCCCTCCAGGGGGCCTCACCTGTGATGTTGGGGAAAAGGAAGGACAGGCTGGGGTGTCCCTAAGCGAGTCCTGGCCTGGGGAAGCCAGAGGCCGGGACGTGCCTGCTGTGGTCAGGTGAGGGGGGAGAACTTGGGGGGGGACCCACATGTTCATACCTGTCCCCAGGCCTTCCATTCCAGGGATGTCGTCCCCAAACCTGCAAGCACACAGCCATCAGGACGGCGGCCATGATGAATGGAAGGTGTGTGTGCAGAGTGTGAGTGTGTGCAGGTGTGAGTGCAGAGTGTGAGGGTGAGCAGGTGTGAGTGCAGAGTGTGAGGGTGAGCAGGTGTGTGTGCAGAGTGTGAGGGTGAGGTGTGAGTGTGGAGTGTGAGTGTGTGCAGGTGTGAGTGCGGACTGTGAGTGTGTGCAGGTGTGAGTGCAGAGTGTGAGGGTGAGCAGGTGTGTGTGCAGAGTGTGAGTGTGTGCAGGTGTGAGTGCAGAGTGTGAGTGTGTGCAGGTGTGAGTGCAGAGTGTGAGGGTGAGCAGGTGTGAGTGCAGGTGTGAGTGCGGAGTGTGAGTGTGTGCAGGTGTGAGTGCAGAGTGTGAGGGTGAGCAGGTGTGTGTGCAGAGTGTGAGGGTGAGCAGGTGTGAGTGTGGAGTGTCTGAATGTGTGCAGGTGCCCGAGTGTGCACCTGTGGGCTGTGCGTGTGCGTGTGCGTGCAGGGTCCCATGCCGGTGACTGTGATGGAGTCTGGAGGACAGTAAGCCTCCCTGCTGGGCCCTCCATCCCCTTGAAGAGGCACCCTCCCCAGCTCTGCTTACCCTTGGACACCTTTCTTGGGGGGCTTGCTCTTGAACTGCCTGGTTTGCCGCTGCTTAAATTTGGGGGGCCCTTTCCTGGGCGTGACGGGGCCCCCCGTCACCCTGGTGGCTGAGCGGACCTCGGCCTTGGGTGGCTCCAGGTTCATGGCCAGGCTGGCAGAGCCCCGTGGCGACCTTGGGCTTCTGGACTCCCTCAGGCTGGGTGCTGGGGGCAGACCAGGGGGGATCGTCAGCCTCCTGTCCCCCCCCCCCTCGAGGGAACCCTGAAGTGAGACCCGGGGCCTTGGCATGGCCCAGCGGCAGCCAGACCCCTCCACTGGGGCCCCCCGGGCGCCCCTCCTCCGAGGTTGGGACAGTCTCATCCACCCAACAGTGCCGATGGGGGGCCCAAGGGCGTCTCACGGGAGTCTCCCCTCTGCTCAACTCACTGCACTTAGAGTCCCCTCTGGGCCTAGTGTCTGTTGGTGTCCCCACAACACTGACCAGGTGACCTCCTCCCTCCCCTCCCCCATGGCCACTCCCCAGATGCCCTAAGCCGTGACCTTGGCCATGAACAAGGGCAGCTCGGCTTCCTCTAAGCCTATTGGCAGCGAAGGGAGCCTAATCCCCGGCACCGGGGCTGAGGTTCTGGGGCCAGCATGACAGACAGGGGTGCTGTTCCCACACCACAGGCCCGGGCGCTGGCCTCCGCTTTGTCCCTGTCTGGTGGGCTGCAATGCAAGGATAGGTGGTCCCACTGGCTAGGAAGGCTCAGTGGGGTGCTGGGTGCCTGGGATTGGGGTGGCCCCGCCCTGGACCTTCCTCCCTAAGATTCAGCCTCTGTGCTGGGATCAGAACCACCCAGGAGGACCCGAGGTGGAGGCTGCAGGCCTGGCGGGTCCTTTCCCGTCCTGGGCCCCGGGCCTGGCTTGGACAGCTGTGCCCCCAGGGAGCTCCAGCGGCAGGTGCCGTCCCCGTGGAAACCGCTGCCTGAGCCGCCCCAGCCCCAGCCAGGCTCCCGGCTGGTGCTCCCGGCTGGTGCCCCGTGGGCGTGGGACTCCCGGAGCCCCCTGGCCTGGGGACGGCCTGCACCGTCTGCCTCAGGGAGCAGAGGATCAGCTGTGCGTCCCCAGACCATGCCTCTGCTGGAGGTGCAACGCCGCCCGCTGCCCACCCTGCGCAGACGCCCACGAACACCCTCGGTGAGCGGCTGCCAGAAAGACTGCGGGGCGGACACTACTCACCAGCACCGGGCAGCCTCAGGGCATCGGTGAGTGCAGCCTCCCTCACCAGGGGTCGGCCGGCATTTATCCTGCCCCGGGTAAGCGGATTAGCACGGCCCGACGCCACACTAATGGGCTTGACGGGGCCGCTGGGCGGGCACCACCAGGATTCCGGGGTCAGGAAGGGGCTCGGGTGCGGTCAGGGCCTGGAGGGAGGGAGGAGCTCAGGAGCTCGGGACTGGCCAGGACTTGGGCGGGGGTGTGTGTGTGTGTGTGTGTGTGTGAGAGCGTGGTCAGGCACAGCGGGCCGGGCAGGGCTCCCCTGAAGCTGCCGTCTGGGCCTCCCCACCTCAGTCCGGTTCCGACCGACTTCCAGAAAACCCTGCCTGCCCCATCACCTGCGGCCTGCAGGCAGCCCACACAGCAGTCAGACCTGAGGTCCCTGTGGGCTGTGCCTAGGGCGGCCCTGGCCCTGGGACCCGTCTGGCCTTGGTGTGCGCCAGAGTTCCCTGCTGGTGCCCACAGCACCTCACAGGTCCCGCCGGGTCCCGGGCGGGCCTGCTCCCCGCGCCTCACAGGTCCCGCCGGTCCCAGCAGGAACTAGCACTCCCTGTTTTTAACTTCACTTCAAAGGGGAGGCCGGTTCGTCAGTCAAACATGAAGTCTGTTACCACCTCGGCTTTTCCCTTTAACGAGGAAATAAACCGGCACAGGTTTACTCCCGTCCTGCCCAGGCCACTGGCATCGGAGCTGGGATTGCTGGGGTGGGGGGCGAGGTGGGGAATTTCCATGGATGAGGATGAGGGAAGACAGGGAGGGGCAGCGAGGGCCTCAGATAAAGTCCCACTTGGGCCCATGGTCCCGTGGCCAGGTCTGCAGCCAAGGACGAGGCCGGAGCGGGGACGCTGGTTCGAGGGTTAATGCCTGAGGCCTCCCAGTCCCCCTGGCCAGCACCCAAGCGGGCTGGAAGGACGGGTGGCTCCCAGAGCTCAGGCCCCTGCAGGCTGACAGGCAGCGGCTACTTGGCCAGCAGATGGGAGTCTCCTCAGGGACAAACGGGGAACGTCCCAGGCTGCCAAGGGCAACTTCCTGGGACAGACAGGCCTCCCTCTGCCCCACTGCGGAGTGACCACAGCTGACCTCCCGCAGGACTCCCGGAGTGCTGGGACGTGGAGGGGGCCCCTGGGGTCAGTGCTGTTTGAATTTTAAGGAGTCTTATTTCACCCCCCGGCTGGTGCACTGCAGGGGGTCGGTGACCATCTGAGACACCTGCTCTCTGACCACAGAACGGAGGCCTTCTCCCCAGCAGGGAGTTTATTTACTTTCAGGTGAAGTCGATTTCCAGCCTCTCGCAGCGCCTGGGACGAGGGGGCTCCCGGTCGCTCAGCCTCGGCTCCGCATGCGCAGCTGGATCTCCATCCGCAGGAAGGCCTTGAGGTTCTCGTCGGTCACGTGCTCCTGCAGGGCGGCCAGCGCCCGCTCCCCGCCGTCCTGGTAGTGCTGCAGCAGCGCGTCGGCGTAGTCCACCCACACGCAGTTGGGGCAGCCGCTCATGCAGCAGTTTGTGGGGGGCTGCAGCTCAGGTGGCGGGGGGTACGGGGCCTCGGAGGCGCTCCCGCCAGGCGGGGAGGACTTCGGGTGCCGGGTGCCGTCTGCACCTGCTGGGGAGCTGCCCTCCTCTCCATGGTCCTTCCCCAGCTCTCTGCGGCCTTCCCAGACCGGGGTCCAGGCGCGGCACCTGTGCAGAGCGCCGCCTCCAGGAAGCCCGAGGCACCACTCCCAGCTGGTGAGGCGGCCTGGCCCCTAACAACAAAACAGGCCTCTGAATCTCCAGGAAGCTGGTCAGGCCCGGCCCGGCCCGGCCCGCCCCCAGCTCCACGGGAATCTCAGCTTCGGGGCAATGGCAGAAGGCTCCGCAGCCCTCCACCTTCCTCACTCCCATGGGACCTTAGACAAGTCTAGACTCGCTTTCCCTCTGTAACCGGATGTGATGGTTGGTCTGAGGATGACATGATGCGACTGAAGTCAAGTGCCGGTTGCAGGGCCTGTCACTGGGGACGCATTCCAGCAGGTGGAGGGTGGCGGGAAGCTTGGACCCCCCAGCCACGCCACCTCGCCCTCTAGCCCGTACAGAGGGCCCGTCCCCTCTGCCCATCTCACTGACCGCTTCATCCCTTCCTCCTGTTTCAGTCCAGGAGAAGCCCAGGCGGCCCGGGTCCCCGCAGAGCCCGCGGGCAGCCTCCCTGCCTCCTCCTCCAGCCCCGGCCTAGCCCTGGGGCCCCTTCCCAGCTCCACGTGTCTCCAGGGCGCGGAAAACCGACTCACGCAGCCCCAACTCCTGTCTCCAGCTCCGGGGAGCACCGGCGCCCTGTTCACTGCGGCCTCCCCAAAGGGCGCCATGCAGCAGGCGCTGCTGGTTATGGCCGGACGGGTGGAGGAGCCAGAACCCGCCGGCCCAACTCCGGGGCTCGGCCCAGAAGCAAAGCAGCCCTCTCCGCAGACCCGGAGCGGGCCTAGCGGGGGCAGCACGGACAAGCGGCGTCCGAGGCTGCCCTGCCCGCCGGCGGCGCGGGCTGCAGCCGCGGCCCCCGGGAAACGGGGAGGTCGGGGCTTTCCCGGTCCGAGCCGCCCCAGCCCCCCGGCCACCCCCACCGCGCCGTCCCCGCCAGGGACTCACCGAGCACCGGGAGGCCGAGGCCGCCGCCCGGCCGCCCGCGGCTACGCTCCGCAACAGCATCGCCCGCGGCCTGACCCATTGCGCAAGCGGGCTCCACTCTCCGCCCCTTCCGGGGCGTGAGCGACGGCCACCTTAGCCAATCGCGACACAGGTGGGAGTTGCACCGCCCCAATGAGCGTGGGGCTCGGTGCAGGAAGCGGAAGTGGCGGTTGTAGGGACGGGACCGTCCGCAAGATAGGAAGTGGCTTCTCCCCGAGACCCGGCGCGTGCAAATGCCGGGAGCCAGGCTCCGAGCAGCGGGCCCCCCGCAGACGGGGGGACCTAGGGGCCCGGAGCGGCCGCAGGGGCGGCGGCAGCAGCTGCTGGGGAAGCAGCCGGCGCCGAGGCCCAGGCCGCGCAGGTGGGTCTCATCCCCGTGACGCCTCTGCCCCGGCCTCTCCCTTTGCCGGGCCCCTCGCGTTCTGCCCTGTCCGTGCCGCGCTTGGAGGCGCGAAGGAGAGACACTTGCCACCTCCAGGGGGCGTCTTGGCCATCCTGGGGGAGGTCAGGGAGCGGCGGCCCCTGGGGCGCTCGGAGCGTTCAGCGAGCACCCGGGTGAGGGACAGCCTCCGGGGGAGGATGCTTCCTCGACCCGCATGCCCCACCGCAGCTAGGGCGGCCTGCAAAACTTGGTTTTCTCCGACCCTGCTCTGCTGGAGGTAGGACACAGCTCACCCCTGTGTTGTTCTTCTCAGCCAAGAAAAGAAGAAAGTGAATTGCAAGCCCAAGAACCAGGATGAACAGGAAATCCCTTTCCGCCTCCGGGAGATCATGAGGAGCCGCCAGGAGATGAAAAACGCCGTTAGTAACAAGAAGAGGAAGAAAGAGGGTAATGTGCGGGCCGTGTGCGTGGCAGTAGAGCGAAATTGTCCAAATACCCAAGGGTGCGCCCGTGCTCCGAGGGGGCGGGGCGAGGACTGACCCAGGGCCGGGTCTGCAGGGCCACAGCCGCCTCTGGTTTCTGAAGAGGCTCCAGGGGAGCCCGGGGCCGCCACCCCTCCCGGCCCCTCGTGCCTCATGTCTTTACCCGCAGCCCAGGCGGTCTTCAGAAGGACGCTGGAGAAGGAGGCCAGGGGAGTGGGGCCAGACATCCCCGTCCCCAAGTTCAAGCGGAGGAAGTGGGAGTCTGACGCGGTCTACATCCAGCGCATGGAGCAGGAGGCCCAGCACGTGCTGTTCCTCAGCAAAAACCAGGCCGACCAGCAGCCCGAGGCGGAGGTGGCTCCCAAGAAGAAGTCGGAGGGGAAGAAAGCGTGAGTGGGGGCTGGCGGGGCTTGGGGGTCCCATGATGGTCTTCTGTTGCCAGGGGCAACCCCACTCCACCCCGTGATTCAGGAAAGGTTGAAAACCCTGGTCACCTGGTGGGAGGGGGGATGTAGGGGGTTAGGGAGGCTCTGACCCAGGAACTCTGGGGGCCTAGCTCTGTCTCTGTTTCTGTGGAAAGTCGTCACGGGGCCAAGAGCCAGCGCAGGTTGGGGCCAGTGGTCCAGCCAGGCTGGTAGCTGTCGGGAGGTGGAGAAAGGATGAGGCTCAGTGTCCTCCCCTCCCCCCAGGAGGCTAGCTGACTGCCAGGGACCATGCCCACCCTGTGGGAGTCAGGATCGTGGGTGGGGGTCTGGGTGAGGCTGACAGGCAGCCTTGGGTTCCCCTCTGGTGAGCGGGTGCCTGTCTCTCCCTGGACCAGGACTGGGGTGTTCCCAGCATCGCCTTTCCTTCCAAAGGAGCGTGTGAGCCCTGAGCAGTGACCCCGTCAGCCTCCTTGTGAAAAGGGGGCGCAGGTGTCTCCCTCTTACAGCGGTTGGCTGGCGGGGTTCAGACGCTCTGGTGGAGAGCTGTGGGGTGGGGACTGGAGGCAGCCCCTGGGCGCCCCTGAGGGCAGGGTGACCCTCGGGCCTCGGAGCCCAGGGGAACGAGAGCCGGGACCGCAGCGCTGGCTCCTCCTCAGGTTCCAGAAGCGGCGGCGGGACAGAGTCCGGAGGAAGAGGGAGGAAAAGGCCGAGGAGAGGCTGGAGCAGGAGCTGCTCCGAGGTGGCTCGCCCTGCGGGACTGTCGGCCCGGGTGGGGGGGTGGGGATGGGGGTGGGGCCCGCGGCCCGGATGTGCCCCGGGTTGGTGGGTGGGCACCCAGCGGCTCAGGCGTGCTCCTCTGCCCTCCAGACACGGTGAAGTTTGGTGAGGTCGCCCTGCAGCCCCCCGAGCTGACCGCCCAGCCCAGGAAGAGCGGGAGCGCAGGCCAGGTGAGGGGGCGGGCTGCCCTGTGCCCCCGGGAGGGCGGTTCTCACGGGGCCTAGCAGCTGTGGGGCCAGGCTTTGTCACCTCCCCCTTCCTGACCCCGTGCCCTCTTCTGTCTGGCCCTCAGCCTGGCAAGAAGTCGCTGATGCTGGCGAAGCTTCTGGGCCCCGGCGGTGTGGCCCGGCCTCCGCCCGCCTCCATGGCCCGGCAGCGGATTGTGGCGGAGGAGAGAGCGCGGGCGGTGCAGGCCTACCGGGCGGTGAAGGCGCAGCGGCAGGCGCAGGGGCCTCCGTCAGCCCACCTCCCGCCCAGGAAGAAGCCAGAGACCCGCCTTTGAGAGACGAGGGTTCCCGCACCGGGTGGGGCGAAGGGCAGGGGGTCCCCAGATCTGAGTCCTTTCCCTGGCACACCCCGGACACAGCCTGGAGCACCGGCTCAGAGTTCGGGAAAAGGCCCCAGTCTCTCAAGCAAGACCATCCGCCAGGCCCGGGCCAGGACATCACCTGTGCCCAGCCCCCAGGGCAGGGCCAGCGCCTGCGCCTGCGCCTGGCTATCAGCCCCTCACACCTGTCCCCGAGCCCAGCATCGCCCTCAGCTGTTCTCACACACAGGCCCATCCCGATCCCATCCCTAATTGCCAGTTGATTGTAGAAGCTGTGACTCTGGCGAACGGAATCCCTCACAGGCTCCAGATCACGGGAGCAGCAGTGCGGGGAGGGTGGGGGCAGGACCCACAGGGGTGGTCGGCACCTACAACACCGGCTCCCAGTGCCAGTTAAGTCCCCGCAGAGGCAGCTGGAGTCGGTGCATGCCTTAGTCCTGATGTGTAGACCGATGACCGCACCACAGTGGGGCGGTCCTTGGGGAGAGCTGTGGCACAGGAAGCATTTCTCACGGGCGGTCCTTGGAGGGCTGCCTGGCAGTTCAGTCCTCCAAACAAGACCTGGTGCTTGACACTGACCCGACGGGGTTCCCAGCCCTCGGTGCAGGTGCCCCCTCCCTGCCCGTCTGTCCGGCCGGGACCAGGTCCCTCACGGGGTGTGGCGCTGGGACCATCTGGGTTCTAGGAATGTTCACTGATGCTGAGATGTCATTGTTTCTAGACCGTTTTTTGCAGACAGGCCTTAGGAGTATAATTTTTTAAAACGTGTTTATGTAACTACAGTTCTCAATTTGTATTGAGATTAGCTATTAAATTTTAATATTTTACACTTTCTTTGTGTCTTACACTGAGAACGTTTCACAAATATGCTTTATCCTCCAACAAACATAAAATGGCTCTAATACGAACAGTATTAACATAAACGTACAGAACGAGGGCTAAGATTTCAGTTTTCTCGGCAGTGGTGTTGGACTGTCACTTCTGTTTCTTCTCTCTGGCTGTGGTACCGATTGGATGTACAGTTGAGATCTTTTGTGTTTCCAGGCTTTAAGTTGCTGTTTTAATTCATTTTTGAAGGGAGAACAGTTTACATAATTCGGGTTCCAGAGAAAAGGGGCTGCCTGCCTGCTGCCCCGTGGGAGTCGCACTCTTGGCTGAAGGAGGGATGACGGACAGCCCAGAGTTCTAACCCTTCTCGCCTTTACTCGGGCTTTGCCGGGTGCTCGGAAACGGGGGTGTCTGAACGCCCTCCGGGTCTCACACTCGTCTGAGTGGAGACGGCCCCTGTCCAGGGCTGCTCCGTGGCGCCCAGCAGTGCCACGGCCGTGCACAGCAAAGAGCCGGAAGCAGACAGGTGCAGCCAGAGGCACCGTGTGCCTGAGGGGCCACACACTCGGCGGACGGCTCCTCACCAGTTACAGGAGGTGGAATAGTGGCCCAAAGAGATACGTTCAAGGTAACCTCGGGACATGCCGATGTGAACGGGCTTCGCCAATGTCGTCATGAGCTCAGCGGCACCGACTCCACCAGACCCTCCCACCTGCCCTGCCTGCTGCTGCTCCGGGTGGCGCTGCTCCCCAGCCCGGGACCGGCTTCATTCCATCAGCCGGCAGGACTTGCACCTGGGTGCCTCGGCTTACCGACCACTGCACCCCACACTGCAGCCCCCTTCGAGGTTCACGCCGGGTCCTCCTCTTCCTAAGCACAGACCTCCGGGGGCCGAGCAGGGCTGCCCTCTGCCTCCTCGCCATAGGGCGGTCCAGCCAATGTCACCCAATGTCACCGGCCGGCTCCATGCGTGTCCTGGAGCCACTGCAGCACCGCGGCCAAGCCTGTGCCCGTCCGGGCACTGACGTCTGCCACGGTGATGGTCTGCGTGGCACACGCAATGATGTCTGGGAGCCTGATTAACGACTTCATCTCCTCCACGGTCATGTAACAGGACAGGTCACTGGAGCGAAAGGGGTGCTTTGTTCAAGTGGCCCCGCAAGCCCACCCGACGCCCACTGCACCCCTCCCTCAGAGCCACTCTTCCCCGGGCCTGTGCTCCCGAGGCCCACGGACCCGTACGTTTTATTGAAGAGGATCAGGACCGGTGCGTCCGCCAGCGGCTCTGCCGAGAGGAGGCCCAGGAGCTGCGCGCAGGACGCGGAGAGCTGGGTGGGGTTGGAGGCATCCACCATGAACTGGGGAGAAGGACAAACTTCAGGCCGCCCTGATGGAGGCAGCCCCTGCCAAACACACACACACACACCCCCACCCAGCACCACAGCCCTGGCGGAGACAAGCCAAGCAAGATGACTGCAGCCAAGGGCTGTGCAGAGCAGGCACACCCCTCAGCAGGCCTTCTGGGCCTTTCCGAGAGCTGCCAGGGGGACCGCCAGGGCAGACCGAGTTCCCAGAGGGAAACAGCACAGTCGCTCAGGAACCCAAACTCCATCCCGCACACAGACAGGTCCGGGACCAGACAATACCCATTCGGGGGCAAACTTCCCCTAAAGGAGTTCCCGGACTGGGACCCACCAGGAGGGCACGGCAGTCTCCATAGTAACTGGACCAGATGGGGCCCATGCACCCGCCCAGCTCCCGGATGGTGATCTTCCTGTGGGCCACGATGTCCGTGAGGTTGGTGCCCACCTGCGGGGAGAAGCAGGGTGCAGAGACCAGCAGGCTCTTTCCCACGGGGACCCCCGCAGAGCACCGTGCGGGGCCCTTTACACCGTGACCCAAATTCAAAAGGCCCTTCTCCAGGCCGCGGGCCCTAAAGCAGAACCATAGGGAAGAGGGGATTCCCGTCTGGGCCCGCCCCCTCCCGCTGCCTGTGGCCAGAGTCAGCGTCCACCGGGGGTCTTGCTTTTGCTTCCCCCGGCGTGTACTGAGCTCATCGACCGGCTGGATTCCAGGTCCCCTCCGTGTAAGAAGCCAAAGCACTTGGCAAAACACAAGAATGCCCTTAACCGGTGTGGCTCAGTGAACAGAGCATCGGGCTGCAGACTGAAGGATCCCGGGTTCGATTTCGTCAAGGGCATGTACCTTGGTTGCAGGCACATCCTCAGTAGGGGGTGTGCAAGAGGCAGCTGATCGATGTTTCTGACTCTGTCCCTCTCCCTTCCTATTTGTAAAAAATCAACAAAATATACGTACTTAAAAAACGCAAGGGGTGCCGTTTCTACTAAACGAGCGGGAGCGCGCTGCCTACCGTGGGTCGCGTCGAAGGAGGATCGCCCAGGTCGCCCTTCCCATCCTGAGAGCTCAGCTGTGCGAGGCGGTCAAGGACCACAGCGGGCAGCGGGGCAGCGGGCAGCGGAGGCGGACTCCGCCCAGGCCGCCCCCGACCCCCGGGCTCCCTCTCCAGCCCCCAGGGCGACCCCGACCCCGACCTAGACCCGACCCCGACCGCCCCCGGAGAGTCCCGCGTCGCCCACCCCGGGTGCCCCCCAAACCGCGCCCACCCCCAGGCGCCCCCGCCTCCCCGGGGCCCTCGCCCGGCCGGAAGGATAGTCTGCAGCCGCTTCACCAGCAGCGACTTGCCCACGCCGGCGGCCCCGAGCAGCAGACACATCCCCACCACTCGCGCCGGCTCGGCCCCCGTAGCTCCGCCCTGCGGGGACGCAAGGCCCGCCCCCGGCTCCGCTGCCATTGGACGAGCCTCGCCTCCTGGGCTGCTCATTGGTCTTCCCGCAGCCGCGGCCAATCGGCGCGCAGAGTCTGGAGCGAGGGGAAAGGCCGCCCCCTCGCGGACGGAGGAGGGCGACGTGTGCGTGCGCGCGCCCGCGAGGGGAAGGCGGAAGCGGAAGTCGGGGACGCGCTGGCTCGCGGCAAAGGAGGCCTCGGCGTCGGGTCGGGTCCGGGTCGCCATGGGGCGCGGCAGCGGCACCTTCGAGCGTCTCCTAGGTAACGCGGCCCCCGCCCCTCCCCGCCGGCCCGCGGCCCCGAGCGGATCCGAGCGGAGCGGCCGCCGCGCGGCCCGGGCCTGGGTGGGCGCGCCGCGAGCGGGGGTTGGCAGTGCCAGGCGCGGGCGCTGGCCGGCGGGGAGGGTCCGCGGAGGAGCCGGGCCCGGAGCCGGCGGGTCTCCCGGCGCGGACCGCGGGCGCCTGACCGAGCGAGCTCGAGACTCTGAGTCATCAAGATGGGTGACTCGACGGAATAGCAAACCTCAGCGGACGTCCTCCCGCAAAGAGCCCAGGGTCCGTGCGATTAGGGCTCTTGACCCAAACATTGGCACCCCAAAAGGGGACCCCTTTCTGGGACTGCCACGCTCCCCTAGGCCTGCTTCCCTGCGGACCAGGCCGGCCCCCGGCCCCCACTGGCTTGGTGGCTGGGGAAGGCGTTTCCCCGTCTGTGGGGGCTGTGGCCCATCGTTTCTGAGCCTCCTGGAGGTCACACGTTTTAGGAAGGAAAAGGAATTCTCCTGGGCAATCACACACACACACACACACACCGCCATGAAACGGCCTGTGCGGGCTGGGGACAGGCGCCCTGGGTCGCCCACCCCCAGGCCAGGTATCGTTCTTGGTCTTGGGAGGTGCAGGCGAGGGACCCAGCCACCTGGGGCGGCTCAGCCTTGCGAGGATAATCCAAAGTTACCAGCGGATCCGGGTGGAGGTGGCCAGGCCTTGCCAGGTTATTTGCAGCCTCCAGGGAAGAGGGTGCCGGCAGGGCTGAGCCTTGCACGTGATGGGGAGAGGAAGGGATTTGTTGGAGAATTCTCGGAGGTCAGGTCAGTACCTTGAAGCAGAGGACAGGCGTCCGGGGGGCCTCTCCGAAGCCTGGCCCCAGCGCAAATCCCTCCCAGAGGTCAAACTTCCAAACACCGGGGGCTCAGGGACGCTCAGGAGTCCTGGCTGTGTCCCCAGCAAGCTGTGTGACCCCGGCAGTGAGCTCCCTCTGCTGCGGTTTGTCTGCGGGGTGTGTGTGTGTGGGGGGGGGGAGGTAGGACCTAGCCCGTGAGGCTGTGCTAGAAGCTGCTTCATGGAGAGAGTTGGGAAGAGGCTGTTAACCAGCACACAGCAGGGTTTCTCTGTTCTTATGTTGTTGTTTTTAACATTTTTATTGTCCTCAGAGAGGAAGGAAAGGGGGGAGAGAGAAACATCAACGAGAGAAAAATCATTTGGCTGCTGCCCAGGTTGTGGGATTGAGCCCTGACCTCCTAGTTCGTGGTCGGCAAACGGCGGCTCACAAGCCACATGCGGCTCTTTGGCCCCTTGAGTGTGGCTCTTCCACAAAATACCACGGCCTGGGCAAGTCTATTTTGAAGAAGTGGTGTCAGAAGAAGTTTAAATTTAAAAAATGTGGCGCTCCAAAGAAACTTCAGTCGTTATCCTGTTGGTATTTGGCTCTGTGGACCGATGAGTTTTCCGACCACGGGCCTCGTTCATAGGTCAGTGCTGAACCACTGAGCCGGACTGGCCGGGCCCACTGTTCTTTTCCGGGCCGTTTGCCTCGTTGGGTCAGGCTGGCACTCCCACGGCCACAGCTGGGGTTTCCGTGGCATCGAGTGTTGAGAATGGGATGGAGCAGCTCCTCCCCAGTACTGAGCTGGGGGCCCCCTGGCGGGAGGAGCCCCATAACGGTACGCCTCTGCCTTAGACAAAGCGACCAGCCAGCTGCTGCTGGAGACCGACTGGGAGTCCATCCTGCAGATCTGCGACCTGATCCGCCAGGGGGACACGCAGTGAGTGAGGGGCGCCTGTGCCCACTGCCCGCGGCGGCCTTGGCGGAGCCCCATGGTCTGGCGCTGGGGGTTTGGATCTGGGCGCAGCCAGAGGACTCTCCGTCCAGCTGGGGACCTCGGTGGCCAGCCGGCAGCTGGGCTTCTCGTCTTAGTTGCTGAGACGGTTTTCTTTCTCCCGTCTCTTTGCACTTCTACTTACATCCTTTCTTTTCAGGGCAAAATATGCTGTGAGTTCCATCAAGAAGAAAGTCAGTGACAAGAACCCGCACGTGGCCCTATATGCCCTAGAGGTGACTGGACGCCTGCACCCCGCTCAGGGCCCGTCCCGAGTGGTCAGGGTGGCAGAGGAGCGGCCTGTGGCCTTCCCACCGCCCGGGGCAGCGCCAGCACAGTGCGGGCACCGGCGGGAGGCGGGTGTGAGCAGCCCTGTGGAGAGCGGCCTTCTGCGGGAGGTGGGCCGTCCAGGAGGGCTCTCTGCTCTGACCAGCAGCTGTCCCTCCTGTCCTCGGTCTGCAGGTCATGGAGTCCGTGGTGAAGAACTGTGGCCAGACCGTCCACGACGAGGTGGCCAACAAGCAGACCATGGAGGAGCTGAAGGAGCTGCTGAAGGTGAGCACTCCTCGGGAGCCGCCAGGCCTTTGCTGTCCGGGTGCTGCTGGCACCTTGGCAGGAGCAGCTCCCGGTGTGGCAGAGGCCACGGTGCGTGTGGGCGGTCCCTCGCCAGACCAGTCTCAGCGGTGGTGTCTGGGCGCAGGGGGCCTCGCCTGCCCCACCTGACACTGACACGGGGGCTGCTGGGGAGCCCCGAGGGCAGCTGGGCGCCCGGCGCTCTGAGCGGGGTGCGCGTGGGCTGCTGTGTTTGGGGGGGGGGGCCTCCTTTGGCAGAGGAGGGTAAGTCCCGCTAAGCCAGAAACAGGGTCCGGGCCGGCCCGCAGCCCCCGGCCTGCGCTGCCCCTGCAGGGATTGTGACGTGGGCAGTGACCCCGAGGCTGTGACCCCGAGCTGGGTGGGGCAGACTTTCTTTGGGTGCAAGGGCACCCCACTGAGTGAGGCTGCCTGGGTGCTCCGAGGGGCACAGCCCCAGGCCCCAGCGGTGTCCTGGGCCTGCTGGTGCCTTGGGCCTGTGGGCCGAGAGCCCATTGGAAGGGGGGGGAGTCCGACAGATCATGGCCTAAGGCCGCCAGGCCCCATGGAGATTAGAGGGCCTCCACCACAGCAGTTGTTTGGTTCAGTGGTAGAGCGTCCGTCTGCGGACTGAAGGGTCCCAGGTTCGATTCAGGTCAGGAGCATGTACATTGGTTGCGGGCACATCCCCGGTAGGGAGCATGCAGGAGGCAGCTGGTCGATGTTTCTCTCTCATCAACATTTCTAGCTCTCTATTTCTCTCCCTTCCTCTCTGTAAAAAATCAATAAAAAATATTTTAAAAAGAAAAAGAAAAAAAAAGTGGGCCTCCACTGAGTGCTCACAGACACCGGAAAGGCCCAGAAGCCAGCGCCGAGCTGTGGCTGCCCCGCTGAGGCCGCCTGCTCTGCCCGTGTCGTCCTGGGCGGCCTGGGTGGGTGGCGCCCGAGGTGCTAGAAGTGTAGTGGGTGCTCCAGGCTGGGGGAGAGGGTGCTCTGTGGGCCTGGCTGTAACAAGGCGGGCCAGGTGTCAGGCAGGTTACAGGCTGAGGGGGTCCCAGGCCGGTCTTGTTACGGGACCTGGGGTTACTGTGCGGCCCTGTGGGCAGACAGATGCAGGGGTCCTCCTCGGGGGTTCTCCATGGAGGGCAGCTGCCCTGGGGGGAGGGTGGCTCCTGCGCTTCATCGGGTCCTCCCGCCCCTTGGCCACGCTGACACCCCTTGCGCCCGTGTGTGCGTGTGCCCACGTGTGCGTGTGCGTGCGCCCATGTGTGCGTGCCCTCCTCACGCCTCCCTCCTTTGCAGAGGCAGGTGGAAGTCAACGTGCGGAACAAGATCCTGTACCTGATCCAGGCCTGGGCGCACGCCTTCCGCAACGAGCCCAAGTACAAGGTGGTCCAGGACACCTACCAGATCATGAAGGTGGAGGGTGAGTGGGCCTGAGGTGTTCATTCTGGGCTGAGGGACAGCACCGCCATGACCAGCAGCGGCACTGGAGCGGGTGTCCCCAGGGTGGTGTGTGGGTCAGCCCAGCGCCGCGCACCTGAGCCCTGCCTTTCCAGCCTTCACCCCATTGGGCCGGGGAGGGGCCCACAGCTCACACGGGCACGGAAACGGGGGTCGGCCCGGTGGTGCCCCCGGAGGCTGTGGAGACGGTGCTGAGCCTCGGTCGGGTCCTGAGGGCAGGGCAGGCTGGGGCACAGGTGAGCCTGGGGCCTCGTGCACCGGCGGCCGGTGGTGACCGCAGCCTTCCTCCTCCAGGACATGTCTTCCCGGAGTTCAAGGAGAGCGATGCCATGTTCGCTGCGGAGAGGGTGAGTGGTGCCGGGCCCGGTGGGCTGCTCTGGGGCGGGGGAGCGGGGGAGACAGGCCTGCTGGAGCCTGGGCACCGGGAGCTGCGGTCTGCGGAGAAAGTGAGGCGCCCAGCGCTGCCCAGGGGAGTGAGCGGCTGTGGCTGGCGGGTAAATGGCACTGGCTGTCCCCGAGCCCTGGGCCTGGTGTCGGCCTCAGGAGGAAAGCCCTCAGCGGGCGGGAGCAGACGGAGGGCGGGCCGTCCTCACTCTGCCGCCCACAGGCCCCCGACTGGGTGGACGCCGAGGAGTGCCACCGCTGCAGGGTGCAGTTTGGGGTGGTGACCCGCAAGGTGAGTGCGCGCGCTTCCCCCGCCCTTGGCCCCCCCATTCCCCCACCCCGACCCCGGAGGCCAGCCTGGCAGCTTCCGGCGGTGCTGCTGGTGGCGTGGCCGGTGGGTCAGTGGCCGAACTCAGCCGCCTCGCCCTGTGTCACAGCACCACTGCCGGGCCTGTGGCCAGATCTTCTGCGGCAAGTGCTCCTCCCGGTACTCCACCATCCCCAAGTTCGGCATCGAGAAGGAGGTGCGTGTATGCGAGCCCTGCTACGAGCAGCTCAACAAGTGAGTCCCGGCCGGCGCTCCCCGCTCCTCAGCCGCTTCTGTCCCACGCGAGGCCGGCAGAGGCGGCCCGGCCCCTTCCAGCCTCCGCGCCCAGACCCGGGGCGGGGCCAGGCGGGCACCAGGCCTGCGGCTGCCTCTTAACTGCCTGGTT